ACCTACACACAAATTTGTTTAAAAAAATTCACAACAGCCTGGATTTTGGATGCTGTTCTGAACAAGTTCAAAGGGAAAAAAAAACTACAATCTTAAGGAGATTAAAGCCGGTGTATTACAAAGCAGTGTTCAAAGTTCTTTTTATCTAGCTTATGACAAAGACTTCCCAAAATCACAAACTGATACCGTAATATTTGCGCAACTCTCTCTAGGGGGATTTATCAGTAAGGAAAATCTAACCTGCAGCATGTTAAAAAATTGTGAGGTTCACAAACATCCACAAACCAGGCAAAATGATGTTCTTTCAAGTACCTGTACCTTCGTACATCTGTACGCTGCCTAGAATTTATCTAAGTATAGCAAAATTGTTTTGGAGGTTCCGCATCACTAACAAACTTCGGGATTATTCCATCAACTAAAACCACTTTTGAAAGACTCAACCCCTTTGAACTTCCGAACGAAAATAATGCCAATATGGTTATAAATGATTAAAGCAATAAGGGTTTTTTTCACAAAATCGTCTATAACTTTATGGTCTAGGACCATATTCTTTGGCACACAGGACGTTTGTCACAGGCAGCACCAAAAATTTCTCAACTATAAGAACACCTAATTCCACATACAGCTATAAATTTTCCCCCAAAAAAGTGGTCAAAGAAGGTTAAAAAATATCATTCGTTGCCTTGAAAAATTTCAGACTAGTTAGTAATTTTTTTTTTTATTTCAAATACAAAACTAGTCAAACTACATCAAAAGGTTAACATGCACTAATATACATGGAAGAAAACAAGTAAGATTCTATTCGTGTAACATACTAAAATATGATAGGGTAAAACTTTAGGGTTCTTCTACTAGTGACATTTAGCAAATGACAAGAGGAAAACATTCAATAATCGCAAATTAGCCTAACTGAAAAAAACCACTGGTTCGAACGAAATGAAGTACAGTCGTAGAAGCAACAAACATTAAAATCAACAACAAACGCTTAAGTAAATAAATTAAGCTTACAACATTTCATATTCATTAATCGAGTAAATTGGCATTTCTCTTGGTCGGGTGTAGTAAAACAACATGGATCCTAGTGGAAATCGTGTGTTTTAACCCAACAGTAATATCAAGTAGTAACCTAGCAGTAAGACACACAGCTGAAATTTGAAATGGAAGGCTCAAACTTAAAATAAATAAATAATATGTATAAAATAAATAAAAACTGAATAACAACTGTCCATTTCAAGGATATCACATGCTTGTTCAGAAGATATAAGTGCACAAATAACAAGGAAAATAAAAGGCGACAAGTTTATATTTCTGAATATAACTGCTCACGAGACATCAATCAATAACTAATATAATTATAAACTGGCACAGTAAATCATGTGTCACTATTCGACCGGGCGGTTTTGTTATTTATTATTGGCTAAGCATAAAGAAATATTTGAACCGTTTGAACATAAAATTAAAATAGAAAGTACTACAATTTTAATTTGTATATTTCTTTTTCAAACTGAAGGCATAAACGACAAAGAGGTCTATATCCACAAACCGTCACATTATTATTATTAAGGTTGAAAGATGAATGTATTTTTCACACATTGAATAACCCTACCAAATTGCAGAGGAAAAATCCCTAAAAAATTAAATTGTATCCTAAAACCTTGGGTTTTCAAGGAATAGAATTTTTGTAATATGACAGTGAAAGAGAAAGAACATTTCCATCTGTACGATAATATTTTTCGTATAAACAACCATTTGGATGAAAACATCTTTGTATACATTTCAAACTGAATGAAAGGGGGTGGGGTGGCAAAGACGGTTTATACACGGTAAAGAATACATGCCCAACTCCAGGAAAAGTTTAGCAACAGTTTAAACACATATTTCCACTGTAACAATCTTTGGAATGCAGCAAGAGTGGAACAGGTGGCTGAGTTTTATTTACAATTTACAAAGAGTTTTGTTTACATTCTGACATTTTATATGGATTTCAATTTTGTGGATATGCCATTGAAAAAGGAAGTACGTTTATTTACAAATTTACTTAGGATTGTAACAGGCCCATCTTCCTAGTCCTAACAAAACACTATCAGATTGAGCTTTACAAGAGTTGTTAAATAATTAAAATTAAATTTAATAATAAATCTCACCAAGCGTAGAAATTTCAGATTACCGACCAGTATTCAATTTGGTCTGTAACAAAACTATATATTGAATTTGAATCCATCCACAATGAATCCTAAACAAATCAGCTACCACAGAAAACCTGGTTTCCTTTTACTTCAAAAATTTCACCATAGGAAAAGTATATTCCATCTCACCGTAGACTTAACAATACTATTCTTAGAAGGGTGTTTTAATTATACATCTATATTCAAGTTTAAACAGACTGAAAGCAAACGAAAACGACAAAAAGGTCAACCAATTTTCAATAGCCTTTTACCTTTTATTTTGGAATAATTTTCAAATACTTCATAGTATGGGTCTTATTGTAAACCTTAAAATGGCTGATGGCCAAAAATTAAACCAAATACCTTAGGAAAAACCTCTATCAAATTAATTAGGCAACAATTAGAGATAGAGAGAGAGAGAGAGAGATGTATAAAAAAATTTCTCTCTGATAGTCTTGAGAATTGCACAATTTGTAAACTGTTGAAATGTGATAAGGAAAAGACCTAACTGAAAGCGTTAAATTAAATAACTGCAATCGCACTTGCGATTCGCTAAGGTTGATTGTTTTGAACTATTTTTGAAAAGATTTATCCCATAAAAAATATATTGTTCTCAATGCTGATAAAAATCTTTCGGGAGATATTCGTTCCTGGTGACTACTAAGCAAAGAATTTTACATTCAATTACTGATAAACTGGGTGAGAAAAAAAAACAACAATTTCAATTGTGTTGATAACAATAGAAATTCCATTGGTAATTCCAACTTATCAGCCTAGAGTCCATTGCTGATTATGATTTTATCAAAAAATTTGGCAGACATTACATCAAATATAAAAAATATACATATATGGGTGAAAACATGGACAGCAGACGGTGTCTATCTAACTTGATGGGTTCCAATCAAAAGCTATTGACACAGTTGCCCTTTCATCTTTACAAAATCAATTCATTATTTTAAGATATCGGGCTGGAAAACGTCCGACTGGATCCAACAAAGAATAATTGCCTTTTTTTAATTCCTGTAGTAACAAATCAAAAGTTTTTTTTAAAAAGTAACTTTCAACTGTAACCAAACTGATAAAGATAGGGTTAACAAGATAGGAAGGGAAAATATGCCCAAGCAGCTGGAAAAAGGTAAACCTTAAAATAAAACACAGTAAAGCCTTTTTTAATTTAAAAAAATCCAGACTACTAACATTTAAAAAACTCAAATCAGTCACATTTCACTACTATGCAGTGTTAATTATCTTTTTACACTCCAATAATGCTATTAAATTGGTATAAACGATAAATATATTATTTTTCTCTACAAAAAGCTCTGCATTTAATTGTAGATGGTGTGATTTTAAAATACGTTTCAATTATTTCATAACTAACAACAAAATTGTTACAGATTGTATCAAATGAAATAAGGCTGAAAAAAATTATTATTGGGCTGAAATATATCATAACTTTATATGAAGCGTTTGGTCATAACATGAAAAACTAAAGTTTCATTCAAAGAACAGAAATGTTTCATTACAAAGGCTTTTAATGTGTGTATTTTATTATTATTTATTGGGCAATGAAAGGAGAATAAAGAGACTTTCGCAGAACAAAAACTGAGTAGATATTTAAGCAATGTATTGATCCGCCATTGGAAACGGATAGTAGCAGGTACTTCTCTTCATTTTGCTTGAAAAATTTTCAATTTTTCTTCAAAATCTCCTTTGACCAAGGGATTCGTCCGTGTCGGGGAATATGGGAAAAAGCCCGGGCCAATTAAGCCGTGTCCATTAAAAAAAATGTATATATATATAATCTGGACAATTTCATTTTTTCTGTTTACAATGGAAATCCGGGCAAATGAAATTTTTTTAAATTTGTGCTACATTTTCCTTGTTTTGGGCGTTCTTCCCAACGGATGTTGTACAAAAGTAAAATTGAGGTAAAGAAAAACATTTTAAAGAGAGGATCAGCCGAAGAAAGAATTATACTCAAAATTAAAACATTAACAAATTCCTTCCTGCTGATGACAAATCACGCAATTTCTGTTTTACAATATGACTATTTCCCAAGCATTATTGTTTACAGTATAACCAATGGATTTTCTTATTATAAAAAAATAAAAAAGATATTAACAACTATTTTCATTTCCAATTACTGCTGGGCCAAGATGGCTGAAACCGATTTAACACATTGTCGGATTTTGCTATTTTCCCCAAAACGTCGGTCACTGCGAGATGGAAAATTAACAAATTTGGCCTAGGAAGAGGCCGAAACTGTCAGAAAATCCGAAATGAGAAGATTTTCCAAGCGTTTAGTGCCGTTTTATTAGCTCGCCGCTGGGGAAAATTCAGATAACAGCGCGCGTAACCTACCCGGCTTAGCCTCACTCAATTTAAAGTTCCTCCAATTTTAATAAGGGAACGACTAATTTTAAACAAAAGGCAAAGCTTTAAAAATAATAAATAAATAACTATAATGGAAAAACAAACAGAGCAATAAAGTCGAATATTTGTTTTACAATCATAACATCAATGAAATTCTCATCAAAGAAAGGTTAAGGTAGAAGAAACGATGCAAATAATATGAAAATTGTACTGATGATTCGCTTTGAGTAAAATCAGACGTGTTTCATGCACATGCGATATTCTTTGATTAATTCTTACGGTCTACATAAATTCCATTTTTTTCTTTTTTTCTTGTTTTATTTTTTATTTATTTTTTTTTTTTTGTCTAAATCTTTTAGTGTTTAAGAGTTTAAAAAATGCAAGTATTAGTATAAAGTACAGAAACAATTAGGATAAAATTTAAATGAGCGTATGAATAAAAATTGTTGAGAAAGGACTAACCTGTAAGAAGTGGGAGTGTCGGAAACTCGACATCGGTTGAATTTCTGTACCTCGAAGATCCTTGGGATTTCTTTTTCTTCTTGACCGACCGTTTTGCGAACGGGTCGATCCTATCGACGAACGTGGTCGATGACATTTCGAACAGAAAGGCAAAAACGTTCTTCCAGAAAGAAAACGGGGGCGACCGGCGACGGAGAGTCGAGAAATAATCGCAAAACTAGCAACGGGGAGGTCGTCCTTCTCGGCTGTCGGAGGTTTTTAGACGATTCTGTCTCAGTTTCGGTCCGGCGGGCTCTGTCTCAAAGGCTTCTTCTTATTCGAGCGAGACGGGCCTTTTTTCATTTTTTCTGAAATTACGATCTCCGCTCCCTTTTCTCCTCGGAGCCCACGGAAGGAGCAGGTCTTCCTTTATCGCCCTTCAAAAATGCGGGTCGTCCGACAGTTGCGCTCTCGGAGGGCGAAAATTCAAATCCCTCTCGTCGGCCGGCCACTTTTTTTCTCTTCCGGGAAAATTCCGGACGTTTCGCTCCTGGAGAGTGTTCCGCTATCGTTCTTCCAGCCGTACCTCCACGATAATCGGCGTTAATCGCGTGCCAAGGGTCCGTCTACGAGAAACGGATCGGTTACGTACATGTGCTCTCTCCTACGACCAGTTAAAACCGTGTATAAATACTTCCGCTCAGATCCGCCGATATAAAACGCCAGGCTTTCCACTCGTTTTATATCCTCTCGTCATAATCACAGTCGTCGAGCCGGGATCGTCATCACATCACCATACAAAATAAAACACAAACTTCACCAACACATTTCAACATACCATCGTCAAACATCGATCTCACGGCTCTCGTTCGCCCTCTCTGCGTGTCGTGCGTCGAAAAGAGCCACCGTCTGAACGCTCCCTACAATATCCAATCTACACCCGTCCACAGAATAAAAGAGATCACAGGGGGGAAAATCCCTCGCANTATATATATATTCCAAACAAATCGAAACGTGACAAGTAAATACTATTGACACGCTAACGGTCCGTATCGAGGGTTGAATCTGAAAAGGCCGGCTTCCGAAATTATTTCGGAATTATTTCCGACCCTGTTCAGAAACTGAGGAAAATGTAAATAAATACGCGACTCTTTCGTGGAACGATCGCGAACGGGGAGAGATCGCGAGAAGTATCCGCTGAAAATAGTCTAACGCGAAGTACCGTCGTGGACGAGATATTCCGTGATCAGTCTGGCCAACGTCACGAGACCGACCTTCATTGTGCCCGCTCGCCTAACCCGATCCCAGGATGACAACGAGTCGGAAACCTTTCAAAACCCCTACAGAAACAATTTATATTTATTTTTCACCTTTTTTCTGCCTTTCTACGTTCCCCTTGGTAGAATGGTCGAGATTCCCGCGGCCGGCGGCGAATTCGTAGCACGCCGTCCACCACCGGGTTGAGGTAGGACGGGGCGATATTTCCACCAAAAAGTCTCCTCGTTTTTCAAATTGCCATAAATTCACATTCAAATTTCAGCTTTAAACAAAATAAAGGGCTGGATTTCTGACGATTTACGCGATAATCCCTGAGTTTTTGGCTTCATCCAGCATACGGTTACCGTTGACGTCAACGTTGACTTTATCGTAACAAATGGTCTATTGGTGTAACCGACAAAACAAACATTCCATCCACACTTGCCCGAGCCATGTTTTATTACAAATTCAATTGCCATAACTAAACTAGCTGTTTATAACGTAAATATAAAATTATACACCAGCAAAGGCCCTTGGAGTGGTCCTAATTGTCTTCCAAGCTGAACTTCATGCAGCCTTACTCTATGCCCAAAAGTTAATAAAGAAAATTGTGAAAAACATAAATTTATACATAGTGCCCAAAAACATTGGAATAGTAGACACAAAATCTACATAGGCGATGTATGTTGTAACATAAAGGCAATCTCAAGTTTCAGAAAGGGTCCTCACATGGTACATTGATGGATCCAAGATGGAACGAGGTAAAAGGGCTGAATTGCATCTTAGCATAACCCCTTTGGGTCCCAACAATCTTACAAGCTGAGATCCATGCAAACCGAATCTGTACTCAGGTGTTAATAAAGAATAATATGAAAAATGCATATGATGGCCCAAAACACAAAACCAATTTCAAAGTCTATAAAGACAAACGTTTCTTCTTATGAAGAAAGGATGCAAACTTGTCCCACAACAGTGATGGAAACCGTTCTCTTTCTTAAACCTATATGTACAAAAGGTGCTTTCAAGAGTGGCAAAAGGGTTCTGAAATTCAATAAAATAAAAGACCTAAGGAACCAACACAAAATTTTCGGTAGAATTAAAATAAATAATGGTACATGACAAAATGAAAGGAAACATAACCACTTACCCATGCAAGTGGACATAGACCTTTGCTTACTGCCACTACCCCTTGTTCAATTTTAGATCTAGTGTAATAAGTCCTCTCTTTTGGTCTTAAACCTATCAGGTCCAGGTATAGAGTGCTTCCAACCTCACACATCTCATCACCTTCATTGCAGCTTCTTATGCTCATCCAAAGGGAACCGACATCTTGGCATTAGGCATTGTATGCTGTTAGTGAAAAACACTTCCTTCTTCATAAAATATTGATTTTAATGTGCCTGGCAAGAGGAGTCTAACCAGAATCCTGGTCTTGTCACAGTTACCTTCCAGTAATTCCTTTGTAAGTCTTGCAGATGGCCCTTCTATGAATCTGCCTCATGCCTGGAGTGTTGTTCCACCAGGTTTTGGACTCACTAAGGATCCATTTTTGGATGTATCCTTTTTTGGCAAAATGCTAGGCTAAGTTTTAGCAGTGACGAGAAGAGTCTATTAGTGTGTTTTAGAGTGAAGTGAAGAGGCTATTAATTACTAAACAGCCAGCTTTGAAAAATATGATAGATATTCTTGAACTACTAAGCACTGGAGGTCTAAGAGTCAACTTCAATTCAATGGTCTGGAAACAACTTGAAGATGAGGACGCTGAAGGAAACGTGCTAACACACTAGATACAGCAGGAGCAGTCCTTTCTTTGGACTGGAATAGCAAATTGGTATGACCCAAAGCATGCTTAAAGAATGAACAATGGAGAAAGAAATGACCCCAGGTGCAAAAGTAGGAAAATAAATTTCTACAACCTCTTAACCAGGAAAACAAAACTCTACCCCTCTCTTGATTGGAAAGAATTTTAAAAAAAGCAATTGCTTATTTAATTACCACCTTAAAAATTAAGAACACTGAGATAGAAACCTGTTGTCCTGAAGAGGCAGAAACATTGGAATCTGTCTTATGTGACTGCAAAGTGAAAAGCTATACGTATTAATGTCTAAAGAAGTAAGCAAATTGGAAAAGCAGAAAAAGCAAAACTACCTTAAGAATAGTGTCTTTCTAAGATTTGGAAATTCCCACAACAGATCATTTAGGTCATAATGGAAGAGAGGGAGAATTTGGTCACCTGTGAACCTTGAAGTAGGTAGAAAACAGCCAGCATTGGCAGACCAAAATGGTCAGAAACGACCAAACAAGTTTACTGTATGTTAATCCAAGTAGATTTTTTAATATGGGTAAAAGATGTATAAAATACTGCCAAAAAAATCAAAAAATGTATAAATCATATACCAAGACTGTTTACTAATTAATACATGCTCAAATCTGCATATGCATGTACATATATACACACATGTACAGAGTTGAGCCTACCACTTTTGTAATTTGTAATAAATTACCACCAGGCCTCAAGAATCACCCCTGTGTGTTGGCAGTCTGGGGTCAGACATTGATCTTATCAGTCCATTCACTGAGGTTGGACTCAAGGATCTACCAACAGCTAGGTCATTTCAGCCCCCAACACAGTCAGTCCCCAAATCCAAACCTATTCACACTCACTCTTAAATACATTTTCCTAATTAAATGCCATTCACTCATGGCACATAATTAAACCACACACTTACAAACAACTAAACTAATTGAGGGTCTGTAGGGTACTCAACATTCTGTCATCGGCCCTCATAATACACATTCATACTAATAAATACATTCAATCTCAATATACACATAGGCACACAAGACATCAGAACAGAGGATCCAAATATTCGCTGCCATGGTAAAGCACAATTCTCATGTCAGGTGACATCCTTACACGCTCACTATATGGAGCCAAGAAGTGACACACTTTAATTAAGCATCTAGAAACCTTTTTCTACGTGCTGGACACAAAAGTTTCCGTATGTCAACCTCGCATGGCCTATCTTCAATTAGGTGAGGGTGACCCTTCTCTATAAGGCAGATCCGCCGAGGGGGAGTGAGAACAAGAACATAGACATGTGCCGAATGTACTGGCCTGATAATCACACGGTTTGCTCAATATTTCATAAAGTGATTTATTTAAAATTTTTCTTTTATTGTTAATTAATTAAATTTGGTTTTAAATCAAGCGCCTACAGTTTTCAAAGAATATTTCTTCTTTAGACTTCTTTATCAGCTGGTGAATGGAATGTTTATTTATTTGTTGTGTCTCAGGTTTTTTCTTCAACTTGTATTTTTATACATATAATTCAATTAATGTTTGTGAAACATTTTAAAAATAACGTTTTTTATGTTTTCTTTTTTCAAGTTTCAAAGTCATTATCTAGTCTTCACATATCTAAGCTGGGACCTTCAAATTTCCCGCGCAGAAAAATAATCTTCCGCCTCGACAGTACTATTTACAAAATTTCTTCAGAAGAAAATTTTCACCTGTTAAATGGCTCATTTTTAAATAAATATCGTCAAATTCTGATTAAAAAAGGGGGCCGATTTTTGACAAAAAAACATGACCCCCGGGAAAGAGAGAAATTTCACCATTCCCGGATCGCACAGCATAGTCCAATATCGAGCCGGAGGAGCACATGGTCTTTTCGTCTCTACTCGCTACTCGGACTCCCTACTCGCTAAGTCCCGTATAGTTTTTGCCCGTTCCCAGTTTACGTCATTCTCGTCCTTAGTTCTCACCTAACCGAAGACAGGTAAATTTTCTTTTCTCACTTGCCACTGCACGTTTTCATAATTTTACCTCCATCAGGATAGAATTAAAGAGTGGTCGCGGTTTGGGATAGTTTCGGCCCGTCAGCGGGTAACCCCACGGCGTACATTTATAACGAAACTCACGCTTTTTAGTTAAGTTGCCGCTTTTCCCTCGCTTCATCTCTTGACTTTTTATAATATCTCCCTGATGATACATTTATTTCAAATTTAACTATTAAATTACGCAGTTGCTGTGTTTGCATTATTCGGTCTCGATGCAGCACCTCAACAAACATGCGATTGCATATTTTCGCCATTTTTCATCCATCAAGAAAGTGGTTGCGATTTGGGATGATTTTGGCTTGTCAGCAGGTCCAGAAACTCATGCTTTTAAGCTATGTCACCGCTTTTCCCTAGTTTCATCCCTTGACATTTAATAATATCTCACTGATAATGCACTTATTTCAAATTTCACTTTTAAATGACTCATTTGCTGTGTTTGCACTATCCGGTCTCGATGCAGCACCTCAACAAAATTGCGACTGCATATTTCCGCCATTTTTCATCCAACGAGATATAATTAAAAAGTGGAGAAATTCATGCTTTTAAGATATGTAACTGTTTTTCCTCGGTTCATCCCTTGACGTTAAACAGTATCTCCCTGATAATTATTTATTTCAAATTTCGCTTTTAAATGATGCAGTGAGTTGTGTTTGCAGTAACAGATCTCGATGCAGCAACCGTTGGCGACAAAATTGCGACCAAAAGATGGTTATCTTCCATTCATTTATTTGGCTTTTTCACCACTCATATTCATTCAGATACACAATTGCAACTCAATTGTTACTTTATTATTGAAAAAACAAATAATTTATACAATTCAGTATATAATTATATTCATTGGCGCATTGTTTATTCTATATAGTAGTGCTAAAAGGAAATAAAAAATGAAGTTGACAAACTCGTCATAAATCAAGACTTTTAGATCGATTCAAATTGAAGGATAAAACAAAAACTTAGTTCTATATCAGTCTATAAATTAATTTACCATCACACGACAAAGACAGGAACTAGCTAAACGCAGACTCACTCCCGGAAAAACACTGGCAGAACAAAGACAATGCCTAACTCATTTCATATTTCAAGACAGATGGTAGAGACCCAACTAAACAAAAAATAAAGCTGAAACGCAGATGACAGACCAAATCAGCAAGACCATTACAGGAAACAATCAAATAGATCTTGCGTTAAAATAGTTTACTCCCCCTTTTACTAGATTCCTTGTTCATCATTGTTCAATGTACACAATGCCTTTGTATCAATCTTAAACTGGAACGATACACATAAATAATTATATCAACTAAAGTGATCTTTATTCTAGATAATAATATTAAAAAGAAATCCATCTAAAAGTCTCACAACACATACCACCACACTTTATGCCTTAAAGATGACCCAAATAAAGTTCGAAACGTTGGCCAAAAAAATGAAAAAAGTGTTTTTCTAAACTACCTCATTCTTGACTACTGCTCACAAATAAAGCATATTAATCGGGATAAAACATAATCTCAAATGTTTTATTTTATGTCTCTGTTTCTAATTTATTTACGGATACAATGTTTGTGCCATTAATTTGTAAAGTTCTAAAACTCAAGTTACAGTCAAAAGATCAGTGGAGTAGTTCCAAAGTTACCAACCATTTTTGTATTTTTGGAAAATAATCTGTGATAAAAGTTTTAAGGAAAAAAAAGCTTTTTAATTTTAACAAAAATTTTATGGGGTGGCTAGAGGTGTGAAAAACACGGATATAAACTTTTTTTTCTTGCGAAAAAAAAATTTAGTCTGCTATGTCACTGTGAAAATGTATTTGGCAGCTGGCTATAGTATAGGTTTTGTAGATTTTGAAATAAATAATTTGAGACCAAGTGCTGTCACTTTTCTTGGCTTCTAAGGCCAATTGTGAAGAATACTTGGACATGTGTCTAATATTTCCAGCATGTGTCCTGGTATAAAATATATATATCATAAAAATCAGTAATCCAGTAAATTTAGTGTTACACAAGAGAAAACTATTTTGTGTACTTACCATTTAAAACTCTCAGATCAACCATTGTTGAAAAGTAACTAAGTAATTTACATTCACATTTGCGTACTGAATATAGGCACCCATATAAATGAATGTAACAAATTGATATTCCTCGTAGTATATTTTTTTTAATTTATTTTTAGTAGGGAAAAAGGGTGACAAGTAGAAAGTTCAGTGGCCGAAATTCTTAGGGTGTCAGTTAACTGAAATGTATTGTGAGCAAGGTTCAATTCGTAGGACTTTAGAATATTAATTAAAGTAACTTATGTTTTAACATTTTGTTGAATGTATGCTGATTGACTGATTTAAAAATATAGATTATAAGAACAGGAAGAAGAAACAACTGCATTTAAATATTTAAAATGAAATATCTCGTATCGTAAGCCATTTTTCACTAATGAAAGCTGGTTTCGATCCGATAACCACAAAAATCCTTCCTAAAAAAGCTGTAGTTTTTCTTACCTATCTGTATAATTCTGTCTTTAGAACAAGATACTTCCCATCCCAATTCAAATTTTCCCTCATCCGAATGATTTCGCAGCCTAAAAAAATCACATAACCTTTCATCATCCTACAACCAATTAGTCTGTTGCCTATAAATCATAGAAAAAGAAAAACTCCTACTTAAACACTTCTCATCCTTCACTCATGTAATCTTGTTCCTGACCACCAGTTTGGGTTCACACACTCTCATTCTACCAGTGTAAAGCAGTGCCATTGCATTGTAGACATCATCGTTACCACTCTTGAGCAAAAGGATATTGCTCCTGAGTATGCTAGATGTGAAGCAAGCCATCGATCGGTTATGGCATCGAGCTGCTCTGCAAGCTTAAGAAAGTCCTTCCTTTTACCTACTACCAGATCCTAATCCTACTAATTCAACAGATGCTTTCAGTCATCAGTGACTCCTCTTTATTGACTGGCTATCATCGGTCACTAGCAAAGGTACCACAAGGTGATCTTAGGACCCTTCCTTTACACAGTATACACCACAGACATTCGTAAGCTTCCTGAAACTATCCTCACCATCTCTGCGGATGACACTCATTTATGTTATTATTTTGAGACCCAAATGGACATACAACATCGAAGTTTGGGGTTCAATAAAACGTTACAGCCTACAAACATCCAACCCCTACAATTGAAAATCCTCCAAATCATCATCTGTGCTCCTTTCTATGTATCCAATTTTACTGTTCACAATGACCTTAATACTAATGTGTCCTGAAGTATTAAACAACCGCTACAAGAAATGTTAACAAATACTTGTACAGTCCCAAAAACCCTCATGTCAGAAACCTTTCGACCCGCTCCCTTTCAAGGTATCCTGACAACTGAAGCATCACTGGCCTCACTATCTCTTTAGTAACGTGTGGTTTTTAGTGACCGTTAGTTAATGATTATTCGGAGATCGTGAGATGCGCTCTAGTATGACGTAGGTTTAGAAAAACATTTTTTTTACCGTGCCAACGTTTCAATCTTTATAGAGATCATCTTCAGGGCCTGGTATTTATAAACATTGTTTAAATTATACAAATACATGTAGGATATGAAAAATGAATTTATACAATGCTAGAAATTTTAGACTCAATCAAATTATTTGTACTCGTTTATTTTCTTTCTGTGTAGATGTGTCATTATTGTGTGTCGTGTTGAGAGAGCCAGTGAGATATTGATGTTTTATGTTTATATACGTTGGATTTGAAGGGGTGTAGAAGGAAGTAGGGATAGAAAAACATTTTTATATAAGGGTTCTTTGAGGTGAAAGGAGCCGAGAATGGGTAATGATTCAGATTATCCTTTCAGGATTATATATACAGGAATCATTAGGGAAAGGAAAGCCAAATTGTTGGAGAATTGAAGAGTGAGATTATGTAGAAATGTTTGATGTGTGGAATGTAATGATTATTTTATATGTTATGTGTTTTGTGTGATTTGATTATGATATATGATCGTTATTGATATTGAATTTGATTAATGATATTAGTGTAGCTGTGACTGAGTTTACACGTGAAACGTTCTGTAATTGATGCTGTGTTTATCTCTGTTGATATAAATTATTTCTAAAAAGTTATGTTTATGTTTGTTTTGTTCTGTGTGTAATATTTTTGGATTGTTGAAGTCAAAATTGTGTTGGTGTTAAAAATGGTGGGTAGCCAGTGCTGTAGGATTTTGCTTGGGTTTTTTTGCTGTCATAGATACATTGGGATGTAAGACAGATGTAAGTTGCCAGACAGACTTTGATTGAGTGTATAAATTCTAGCATTGTATAAATTCATTTTTTCATATCCTACATGCATTTGTACAATTTAAAAAATGTTTTTAAATCCCAGGCCTTGAAGATGATCTCAATAAAGATAGAAATGTGTGGTGATTAGTGACCATTAGTCGATGATTATTCAGAAATCGTGAGATGCGGTTTGGTGTGATTTTTTCCACATCCTACATGTATTTGTTAAATTTAAACAATGTTTGTAAATTCCAGGCCCTGAAGATGATCTCAGTAAAGATCGAAACATTGGCACGATAAAGAAAATGTTTTTCTGAAATTATTCAGAAATCGTGAGATGCGGTCTGGTGTGATGTAGGTTTCAGAAAAACATTTTCTTTATCGTGCCAACGTTTCGATCTTTATTTAGATCATTTTCAGGGCTCAAAGTGTTTTGTCTTCTGTGTAAAATAATGTCTCAATAAAGATCGAAACGTTGGCACGATAAAGAAAATGTTTTTCTGAAACCTACATCACACCAGGCCGCATCTCACGATTTCTGAATAATTATCGATTAACGGTCACTAATCACCACACACGTTTTTCTGAAACCTACATCACACCAGGCCGCATCTCACGATTTCTGAATAATTATCGATTAACGGTCACTAATCACCACACACGTTTTTCTGAAACATACATCACACCAGACCGCACTCACAATTTCTGAATAGTCAATAAAAGATCGAAATGTTGGCACAACAAAGAAAACGTTTTTCTAAACCTACGTCACACCAGACATATCTCACGATCTCAAAATAATAGTTACCCCTTAGTACAGTGAACATGATTAAACATTAATATGTAGTAGCAACTACTAATGAGTAATTCCTCTTATTTTTCTTCTTATTTATGTGTATTGTTTATATTTTTCTTCTAAATTCTGTTTTGTTTTGTGTTTTTAAAATGTTATCAAATTTACTCTAGCACAGCAATTGGTGCAGGTGTAAATAATTAAATGAATTAACAAATATAACTTCAACTGCGGATTCCTTTTAAAAAAACTTTATTTGAAGTTACAAGTTTAACCCAATTTAATGATGTACTCTCATCACTAGGCAACGAATTGTAATTAAAAATACAGAATTAAATAATTAGGGCTCTTGGGAGGGAGAAGGTGCTGACTACAATACTAGGAATGGCACCTGCATCTAAGCATTGTAAACATTTAATTTCACATAACTCCTCCTAATCACCACACACGTTTTTCTGAAACATACATCACACCAGACCGCACTCACAATTTCTGAATAGTCAATAAAAGATCGAAATGTTGGCACAACAAAGAAAACGTTTTTCTAAACCTACGTCACACCAGACATATCTCACGATCTCAAAATAATAGTTACCCCTTAGTACAGTGAACATGATTAGATGAACCCTGGGGTTCTAAATTTACTTCATTTTCTATATCTACATTATTTTTCATAAAATTAGAGAGTACATATCTTTTTAATTTCTTACAGCTAATTATACATGTGATGATTACAATTAATATAAAATACAGTATACATGTCCATATGGTAGGGTAGGTTAACATATTGGTGGGGATATTTATTGAGTTAAAGGTATTTGGCGAAATCTCTTTTAGGTTGAAGTTCAGTTGTTTTATGGTAATCCCTGAAGATTGCTTCGGTGAAATTGATAGGTTGATGTTTTGCATCAAGGTGGGTTTTCCATAAGTGAATGATTCAAAGATTAGCGAATTGTTTTTGTACATCATTTCTTAATGCCTTAATGAGAAAGAAATATTCCTTCCATGGTTTTAGTTTCTATGAAATTATGTTGTAGTATCTTGATGGTTGTGAATATTGCAGGAATTGGTTGATTTCCAGAATAAAGATTAGTTGATTATCCTGGATTGTGAGTTTACTGAATTTGCAAAGTGTAGTGTTTCCAGTCAGCAGGAGTTCTTCTGTACAGGAATCTTGATGAGTGGATATTAATCTTTTTGAACATACCTTGTGCTTTGCACAGCCTCCATTAAGAGTTATATTTATTATTTTTTGATTTTAACGCATAATTTGTATCTGATATTATTGTAACAAATTCATTTTTATATTTTCTTGGAATGGGGTGAAAGTTAAATAATTCAAAATTTTTATGAATATGTTATCCTATGATTATTATCGATCGTACAATACATTCTTAAAATATTTTCAAAATTTAATACATTTTCAAATTTTTCTTTTAGTAGGAATTGAGGTATTAAACATTTAAACTGTTCTAAACATTTTAATCCTTGAAATAAATTATGACTAGTCATTATGCTTGGGCGCATGATTTGTAATTTAGAAAATGTTAAGGAATTTTCAATGTCCTGAAGAGTATTCAAGAACAGTTCATATAGGATTTGAATTTGATTTTAAATATCTATTTGGTTATCTTTAATTTGATTGATTAGTTTGTCGAAGTTTTCCTTGTCTGTATCGTCTAGGTTTCCTGTGCACACTTATATGGTTAATGTTTTTTGTCGATGAGTGATTTAGAATAGTTTATTAAGTTATGAAATGGTACTGTTTCTTCTTGAATAGTTTCGTTGAACTTTTTGTGATTTGTGAATTTGAGATATTGGTTATATAAAATTTCTATTTCAGAAGTTAATTCTTGTAAGTCGTAATAATGGAGCATAGTGTGTTCCATTATTGTGCATCACATCTTGTATCTCATAGGTGAGCATTGCGAGGCTCCTGCATAATCCTCATTTTTGTTGATAAATTGATAACGTAACTTCCTTGGATGTTTTATATTAAGTAAGTAAATATTTGGTTTTGTATTATAATGAGATTTTTCCATTAAGGCCATCTTTAAAAAAGGGTTTTTTGATTTTATTTTTCTTCTTTTAAATTGTGGTCTCAGTTTTACCTTTGCTTTTGAATTCCTCGCATTAATTAGAGATATTGATATTTCTAAGTTTCTTAATTTTGTGCGTGGGATTGTCTTTTTGTCAGACTGTGCATTTTGTATGGGAATTTGGACCATTTGTTCTGAGTACCGGTTTTTTATGTTATGGTTCGATTTAGGTATTTAATAATAGAGAATTTTAATTCTCTGATGAGGAGGGCTAGGCGTGTTTGTTGTGAAGTCTATTTGGGCGTGCAGCTTTTGTAAATTATTCTCTGTGGAATCATATTCAAGGCAATTTTGTGACTCATTGTCTTCTAAATTTTCCGTAGTTGCAACGTTATTTAACCATTCTATTTTATATCTATTTTGTCCAAAAGGTTTATTAAAGTTGTGATTGTTGCGGTTGAATATTGGGTTTTGTTGAGCACTCCGTGTGGAAACGGTCATAGGTGTTGGGTTTGTGTTTTGCCCCGTTGTAAATCTGTTGTTTGGGTGCAACATATTTTATTGGTGACATGTCTGTTGGGAATTTCCATCCAATCCAAATCAATTAGAACTCGCTTTGTAAAATAAAAATGACACTTGTTTGACTGGTTGAATGAAAAATGCTGGATGGGATCGAAGTTTAACTGATATTGGCTAATATTTTGTCATTCAGTTTATTGCAAATAGAAGTATCTTATAGCAAATTTAGCGTTTTTTCAAATGGTGTAATGGGATTTGTTGTAGTCTCAACATTTTGGAAGTTGTAAGCGTTTTAATGTGGTAAGGTAGTGAAAAGTTGAAAAAACCTAAATTGACGAATATCTTCAAAATAGAGAACTTTACGAAAATTTTCTCCTGGGCTTTTATTGCTCCAAACAAAGAGTAGAATCGATTCCCTGAGTTTCGTCAGAAGGAACTGGGACACCCCGTATAAATAACATATAATCTAATGTAGAACATTTTGGCATTTTGGCTTAAAATATTTCAACATGTTGGTAATGTACTTATTTTACTCCATTAAATTCACTAGTTTTCGTGGTCCGCTTGACCAATTAATATATTACAATTAATTAAGGTTTTTAGTTGGGATAAAAAAAGTCAGTGTCACAAATGGGATTCGAACCCATGGAGTGGATCGAAGTCACAATAGCTCAAGTGGTAGAGCAGCGGTGTATCTAGCCGAAGGTTGTGGCTCGTGACACTGACTTTTTTATCTCAACTAAAAACCTTAATTAATTGAATGGTACTATTTTAAGTTTTTTTAAATTTTTAACTTTGATTACTTTTCAGTTTTTAATGATAAAATTGTTGTAAATGTTTTTAATTGTAATTATACATTGTATTTTCTGCTTAGAAATTAAGATGTCTACCAAAAAATTGTCAAACGATACTGAAGATGCAGCACTAATAAAAAAAGATGCCAAATCTTTAAACGATGTCGCCAAACAGTTATCACCTTCCTTGACTGATAAGGAGCAATATCTTGTACAAGTAAGTGTCCGAGTAACATCATTATTGTTAAAGTTGACTTTCCGAAAAATTGTTTTCCTTGATTAAGATATTTTACTCATCTTATATTTATTACAGCTGCCTAAATCTGTAAGAAGGAGGCTTCTGGCACTAAAGAAACTGCAGCTCGAAGCGACACATATTGAAGCGGACTTTTTCATGGAAATTCACAAAATGGAATGTCGCTATCATCAGTTGTATTCAAAATTATACGAAAAGGTAAATATAAAATATAACAGCAACGTTGAAATGTTTAGTAAGCATACTACATGTAAACTATCATTTCATTGCCTTTTTTTTATATACTACAAGTGAAATTGTTTATATGTAACATTTAAAATTAAATAAAACAAAATCTGGCACTGGGGTGTGAAGAACAACCGAGCTTTCAGTAGGAACTAGAACTATACCATGTTATCGCTTAAATCTTCCGGGAGGGTTATTAGGGTAGTTCAGGGTGTTGAGGGAGCAGTGTAATGTGCTTTTGTGGAATTTTTAATACAAGGATTTTATAATATCTTTAACAAAAGAGGTTTACTATTTTTCAGAGGATTTTGGAAATCTGGATGCGATTATAGTGTGAATATTCGGTTGAACTGTCTTGTATATCAGTCATTTTGTTGTGAAGCATCAGTTTTGATTGTTTTTCTAGAAGTCTTAACATTTAGTAAAAGTTGTGTTGGTTGACATTATTATAAAATCAATACAAATGACAATTGTTTAATTTGTAACGTGCATGTTAAAGAAACATTGCACCATACTATTTTTGGTTGTCCAGTATATAACCCTCTAAGAAGCCATTTCATTATGATAAAAAAACCAACAAAAAGCAAATGATTTATTTCTATTTTTTCCGGGGTTTTAGAGGTTGAGGTTTGTGTTATCAGAATGAGCATACTAATGCTACTGCTATAGTAACTGAAGAGAGATATGTAGTTATTGGTAGTATTTAAGAGTAATAATTATAGAAGTATCTGTTCAAGCTATCATTTGATTTATCTGTCGAAATCCAATTGATTTTGTTTGCAGTTAGTTATGTCTTTTTGTTTTTCAAAAGTTAAGATCTTGTATTTCATATTAAGTATTAAATTGTAATGATAAGTGCCTGACGTCACTCTACCCTTGCATATGTAATACTTACTATAATGCAATAAACAATTTTTATTCTATTCTAACTAAAAAATATTGAGATTTATAGGTGTTGCTATATTTTCGAGTATGTACTATGATAATTATTACAATGGCACTATGGACCAAAGCTTTATCCACATCGACCAGGCTGCTTTGCTATGATTAGTGTTCCACCTTTTCAACCCTCATATAAGTAAGACCATGAAAAGGCTACCCATGCTACCCATGTTCTGTGTAATTGATTTATTTTGGGCCCAATCTTGAATCCTGAGATAGGAATACAAGATCCCAGAGGTTTTCTTTAATCAGGCTGGATTACAGAAATAAAATCTCAATCAGGCATCTTTTTTTAAATTAAATAAACATTCAAACCAAAACCCCCATGAAACAGAATTAAACACAACTAGGAAAAAAATGAAAATTCTTTATTTACTTATTTTTTATTTTATGGATGTTATAAATGAATTTTAAATCTGTGTAGTTTATGTTAAACCCAACTTTAAAGTAAAATTTGGGGGACCGCGGTAGCCGAGTGGTTAGCATGAGAGACTCACGCCGCGGTCGTGGGTTCGATTCCCACCGTCGCCTCTGGCCGTTTTTTCACAATAACCCCCCCCCCCTAAATTTGAACACACATACGAATTGTCACATGGCTAATATGCATAGTTCATAACGAGAGAAAAAAAAAAAAAGAAAAAAGTAAAGTAAAATTTAAAATCAGATTTTATTTTATGCTTATCAAGAAAATATTTAAAATTAAAAATCCTTTTAAATTTCATATAACATATTTAAAATAAAATTGCTACTTTTTCAAATCAAGTCAAATCTACCTTATATAGAGAAAAAATAATTAACCTTTTTTTTACTTCTCTTTAAAAACTAAAATACATATTTATTTATGGTTATTTTGTAGTTGATATTTTAATGCCAAAATGTAAAAGATTAACTTGATTTGTGTGCATAGCTTTTATTTTTTGTTTTTACAAATAGCTCTTTACTCAAGCGAGTGCAGAATGAGTGCCGTTAGTCCCTCATTCCTTCATCCCTCCTACTCTTGTGTGGAGGGTTAGGCAGTACTTTCAAAATCTTAACGAGGCATGTGTATTGTGATATTACATAGCCACTTAAATACATGGATTTTCGAAAGTCCTATTTTACCTATGTTGTGGCATATTCACTTCAAACAGGCCAGAATTGTAATTGAACTCTTATGATTATACAATCCTTCTTGTGTTCTGTTGTCCGTTTACCTTGCACCAAACATTTTTCTGAGGATTTTATGTTCTCAAATACCCAGGGTCTTTTCTCTTTTAATTTTTTAAATGATTTTCTTCATTAAGTGGACACTATTTTATTTGTACGTCTTTGTTATAGAGGCAACAGATTGTGAATGGCACTTATGAACCGACAGATGACGATTGTGAATTTCCAGAAGGGAAGTACAAATCATCTTTGGCCCTTGATGAGTTTGGAAATGATGTACTTGGACAGCTTTTACCAGAAAGTGCCAACAAAATGTAATATATTTTATAAATTCCTTTCACTATGGAAATATAATTTTATAATTTCTTTTCCAGGGATAATGATGTTAAAGGAATTCCAAACTTTTGGTTAACCATTTTTAAGAATGTAGCTTTATTGAATGATATGGTACAACCTCACGATGAACCTATTTTGAAACATCTACAAGACATTAAAGTTGTATTTTTAGAGAGTAATCCAATGGTAAGAATTTTAATTTTATCTCCGAATCAATGATATTGAATCAAATGAAATGACATTCATTTTTTAGGGATTTATCCTTGAATTTCATTTTAGTCCAAATGAATACTTCTCCAATTCAGTACTCACAAAACGCTATGAAATGAAATGTGCTCCATCACCTGAAGATCCCTTCAGTTTTGAAGGGCCTGAGATTTATACTTGCAAGGTATGATTATTTAAATTTAAAAATAGTTCAACTAACTATGAATAAAAATAGTTGTTTATTTATTTGTACGTTGAAGTCTTAGGTCTACATATTTTCACAATAATGAATGGTTGGTTATTGGCATTCAAGGGATTTTAATAAAATCATGTTGTTTAATAGGAACAGGAGTTTTCAAGCTTGGAAATTGAAGTCTGAAAATTTTACTTTGTTTTTTAAATTACAACACTTTTTCATTCAGTTCACAGTTTTTTGCCTTTTTTGAATAGATCAATATGAACTTAAAATCAATAATTTAACTGAAATAAGTTGTGATAAATCAATTTTGAAGAAATAAATGCTTGAAAACTTCAATAATATATATGTACTTACATCTTCAATACAAATTTTGCTGAATTTTGTGGCAAAAAGAAAAACATTAAAAAAACTTGTCGGAACGAAATGGGCAAAACGCCCTATAAGAAAGCTTGGTTCAGAATGAGTTCGAATAGAGGTAGGTTGAACGTATACGCACAAAGCTTACCCCATCGACAGAAAATAGAAGGTCTAGGTCTAGAGCGCCCTACTGGTCCATTGGATTGTAACTTAGGACGTGCCCGAGTGTCCTCTGTGTTGAGTGTGTTAAAAAGTCGTGCTAACTTCCATCAACCATCTATGACCAAACCAAACGAATGAAAAAAGTGTTCTTGCTGTCCAGTAAAATTTTGAACACTAGCTTTCGTGAAACAATTTGAAATTTTCTTGCTTTATGTCCATCCATGAAGAATACAAAAAATGGATAGTGTCCGAAACTTATATTTTAAGCAACTTCGAGTTATCATCAATAAATACTGCTGGACTATTCTTTTTCTGTAGCTTTGCTTGAGAACTATGATGATGCCTTGGTCTCGGAAGGTTGGAGCTCTCTTTTTTTGGTGCACATCTTAGATGAGCAGTGCAATTGTCGATGAGTAAAAATATTTTTCAGTTTTTCAATTCAATGGCCCATTCATAAAACCATTGTTATAAATCCATCACCAGTCATTGAGATGGCTAAGTGCACAGAAAAGTTTTCATGTTTTTAAGGCGTGGCTTTTCGTATTTTCTTATTACAAGTGACTTTTTCTTGTCAGTTTTATGCAAACAAGAACTGTTAAACGCTTTTTGCTTAATCCCCTCCTCCCTATTGGCACTTTTCCTGTTTTACAACCTAAGAAATTATTCGTCATGTTCTTTCATCAATTCATGTGGGTGTTACGACTTTGTTCAAAAGCCACTTCTTTCATCATTCTCTCTTGGGGTTTTGCTTTTTATGTACAAGCAAACAGCAGCACAAAAGATGGCCATCAATTTTTGAAGTGAACAATACACTGAAAGACTGGATTGGCGCTACTGGTTGTAGAGCCTTTCAAATTTCAGGAACGCCAAGTGAAAACTAATGCTGCTCGGTGCAGTTCCATTTGAAGCGATCATGAATGGCTGGCTTATGAACAGCACTGTGCCTGCCTTAAACTCAATGAAATTTTTCTAAATGTTTAACAACATTTTTAAAGTTTTTTTTGTTCTGAGGTAACATTAGGCCAGAAAGGGTTGATGTGTTTGATTTGTGTTTACAAGAATCTGGAAAAAAATTCTGCAAATTAAATTTTGTTTAATTCATATACACTTGGAGAACAGAGGAATTTCAGCGCCTAATGTAAAAAAGTAAACAAAATAAAATTGTGGTTGTAAGTGTAAACAAAATAATTTCCTGTTGAATTAATACGACGTCGAATAGGTGGGTTTATATAGACAAATTTTCAGTTTATTGATAGATATAGATTGATCTATAGATAAAACAATTAAAGTGCATATTGCTGCCTAGTTGATAGATTTTTTGGGCAACCTATGATATATTAATTGGAACAATTAATAATTAATTCTTTTTCTGTTACAGGGTTGTGTTATTAACTGGTATAAAGGTAAAAATGTTACTATGAAAGTAATCAAGAAGCAGCAGAAGCATAGATCGAAGGGAATTGTTAGAACAGTTATGAAAACTTTACAAAATCATTCATTTTTCAACTTTTTCACCCCACCTAAATGTAAGCCGATACAACTGATTAATAGCAAAAGTAATTTCCAACTTTATATAAATAATGCTATTGTTTGTTTCAGTTTCTGATGATAGTGATGCTGACATTGAGGCAGAATTCGATGAAGAAATTAAAAATCTGTTAACAACTGACTTTGAAATTGGCCATTATATTAGGGAAAGGATAGTTCCTCATGCTGTGTTGTATATCACAGGTAGGTCTTAGATTATTCAATTTAAATTAGTGGTCCACTTTATTAATATAATAATTAATATTATATTTTTATTAATATACTTTTAATATACTTTATTACTTGGATATAACAAATGAGAGGGTACTTCCAATGAATATCTCTGATAAAAATATAATTACAGTACAATCTTGAAATTCATAACAACAGTCGTCCTTATTGGTAAATGAACAATGCATTTCAGTGCCCTTGTTCGTTCATAAAAATTATCCATCTCAATGCCTTCATATACCACCTTAATAATCTTATGTTTCTTCTACACACTTAAAGGTGGTTCCAGACATGTGGTATTTGCCAAATAGTCTTGGCATTCGCCAAATAGTGTGCCTATGAGACACACATGCGAGGTTTGTATAGCCTCCTAGGTGTTACAGAAACAGCGAATACGTATTTGCCAAGTGCTGTGAAAGTCCTTGACTTACTACCAAAATCATGATGGTTAGGGATGGACAACAGTAAAACATTATTGCAGCAACTGTGGTTACTGTTTCGTGCAGTGGCTACAAATAATTTAAAAAAAAGTGTAAGTAAAGGAGATGGTGGATGGTATTACTAAACCATTGACACCTGCTCCGCTTTTGACCCTATCCTTGATTTTTTAAAGGCAGATTCTAAAGGATGCCATTAGTAAATTTAAAAAATCAGTCACAGAGTACTGATGTCCCATCCTACTTTCGATGGGTTTCCACGGTCTGATTTTTAGGATTTGTAAGAGAAGCTTTCCAAATTATTGGTTCTGTTTCGTAAACATCGAGGAATTCCAAAACTGTTGCATTGGGCCAATCCTTTCCTGAGCAAAAAATAATGCTATGTTGTTATTGTGCAAATTAATACATCTACACTAGTTAGCAATCGTTTATTAATGGAAAATAAATAGCATTAAATAGATGTACAAAACAGGAGAGTGGGCCATGATTAATGGGTCTAAATATAGACCCAGGCCCAGGCATCTTTTTAACTACAAAATGAGTAATAACAATTTTTTTATTACATACTTTTTTCTATCTGAGCAAGTAAAATGACTTATATTAACACTTATTGTACCTGAAGAATACAAAAAATTGTACTTGAATAAAAAAATTATGATATTTTTTTCTGGGCCGTCTTATGTTTAGACACCAGTATCTTTTTACCTACATAATAAGTAATAAATATTACATCATTTTTTAATAATAATTATGTTACTTTTTCCTACCTGACTGAGTAAAAGTGATTTATATTAACACTTTATTGTACTTGAATATAAAATTTTACTTTAAAAAACAAAATTAGAGGGTAGATTGGGGGGACATTCTCTGGGTTGTTATTTTCTGTGATTGGATTTCCACTTTTTTCTTTTCACTACCCATTTTTTGAGAGGCTGAAAAATGAGAAAATTTTTCCAATTCTTGCATGAAACCCTAGTGGTCATGCCTGTCATTGCTTACAGGCAATGCCAAGAAAACATTGTGTATTCATCATCTATTAAAAGAAATTAGTTCTGATAATAGTTCCGATGATTTGTATAGAATATTTAGTACGTGGAGATTATAAATTAAAAAATAAAGATTCATTTGCCTGCATAAAAACAGCAATTATAAAAGAAATTTACTCCCTGGAGATCGAAGAATACGTTATGAAGAAGAGAAAATTGGTTGTAGGTTGAGATGTGGAGTTTATGTCTGAGTGGATTGAAGTGATTGAACAGCTGAAGGTTGTGCCTTTGAATCCCGCTCATGACACTAACTTTTTCGTCTCAACCAAGACCTTAAATAAAAAGTATAATTAATTAAAAAAAAAAAAATGCTAAATTTGATGATGCTCTGAAGCAGTATTGGACCAGAAAGGGTAATTTTGGACCTATGTTCTAAAAAATATGAAAAAATTCAAATCCTTTGGCCTCGAAAGAGTTACTATTTGATTGTTTGAAGTCTGAGTCACAAAAATCGCCCAGGCGCAAGAGTGAAAATGGTGAAATGCGTCTGACAGACTAAACCACTTTATACAGATCAAAATCAGTAATGACAGAACTACAGATTCTTCAGACAGGCACAGAGAAATTTCACAAATTAATTTGTTACTTTGTTTATTTACAGGTGAGGCTTTCGAAGATGAAGAAGAGTATGAGGAAGTTGAGGAAAGTGAAGATGCTGTAACAACAGACAGTGAGGAAGCAGCGCCTGGTGCCATTACCAAAATCGCTAAAGAAAATTACAAATTTCCAAACACCAATAACCCAAATACTCAGAACGAATGTACACAACAATAATAAAAGCCAGTACAATCAAAAATAGAATGGGGTACAAAACGTTTATGTCAAAATGTACTTTTACTCTGCCAAATCTTGGTATATTAAAAAAACAAAAAAAACCTAATCATGATTCACTGAAAAACATATGATGAACAGTTGTATTTTATCCTCATAAAAATTCAAGTATTTGTAGTTAATATGTTTCTATTATTTCAATTAATTATTAATTTAAAAAAAACAAAAAAAACAGATTTTGTGATACAATTTATTATTTCTTAATAAAAAGAGTTCTAATTTTGAAAAGTGTTCTAATTTTTCTTCAAATCCTTATTGGCTTGATTTTTTATCTTTTTAAAGCATAGTTTTTAACGAATTTCACTCTTAATTTGTATATCGTAAGTTTCTGAAAGCTTGTTCTATAAGGATTTAGAATTTATATAATATTTTACAATCAACATAAACTATGTATATAATTCTTAAGTGAACTTACTAGAACTCTATGGAAATTAGATGTAGAATCTGAATTATCTCTATTATTCATAAAAAAAATTGAACTGATATATTTTGTCTTGTATTATTTCAACGGAATTTTTTAAAAACTTAATATCACGTTACAATTGTGTTGTAAGTATTATATAACTTATTGAGCCCCTTTTTTTTCCTGTGAATAATTTTGTGTAGTGTGCAGGGAGTTATGTGCATTATGCCTTTTTTTTTATCTGTCATTATGGAATCAATTTATGAAGATAAAGATTGTTGAAAATAATTTTTATTTTATTTTATAGCAAACTGCTAAACGCAGCTCTTTTATTTGCCATGCCATCGAATGTAACAATATGTAATAAAACTGGCTTTTATTGATGGATAAAGTTGATATATTTTTTCTAAAATACATGAGGATAAGTTGATGCTTAATCTGAGTCGTATGTTTTTTTTTTTCCGTATTGAATTAATACCCTACGATGTGAGAAAGTCATTCCGCCCTTATTAACAGTGCCTTGAATGGGGAAAATTTATCCTTTTATTTGTACTTCTGAATATCAATGAAATTTGGTTGGTAAATAATATCTGCAATTATTTTAATTAATTATACTTTTTATCTAAGGGATTTGGATGTGATGAAAAAGATTGTCTTGAGTGGGATTTGAACGCACAACCTTCCGGTCAAACGTCGTTGCTCTAACCATTTCATGACAGCTCGAGTGGTTGGAGCAGCGGCATACTGAGCCGAAGGTTGGTTTGAATCCCACAATGACACTAGCTTTTTCATCTCAACCAAGACCGTAGATAAAAAGAATAACTAATTAAAATAATTAATACCGTCAATTATGACTACCAAATACATGTATGGATAATAACTGCAATATTTTGCATTCAGTTAGTTGAGTAAAATTTGGTTTTAATGTTGAATTAAAACATTTAATATATTTCCTCAGTTATCTGCTAGACTTTAAATCATATTTATCAATAAAAAAACTATCTACTGATTATTTGGAAATTTGAGAATGAATAGAAACTATTTGAGGGAGAAAAACAATTCAAAACTATAATCCTTAGCTTTTATTTTAATGCTGTCATGTGGTTAGCTCTAATTATTATATTTTTTATATAACCAGGAATAAATAAATGTTCTTTATTATGTAGATATAACATTTGTATCATTTCAAACCTTTACTCGTTGAGCGAAAGTATTTATAAGCTATTAACACTTAAGTCTGTGGGGGGGGGGGTCTCAACTGGGTAGAACTTGCTATGGTGAGTTGGGGAGTACTGCAAGGCCCGTCTGTCCAGGTACCCTTTTTTGTATACTATTTTGATTGCTGTGTACAAATTGCAAATTTCATCATTTTTAACAGCTTCATAATTTCGTTTTTTTCTTAGTAACAGCTTTCATAATTTCATAGCTTTCACTACGAATTGGCTTTTTGTTGATTTCTGTTTTTATGTCAAAGTGAGTTTTTTTTTTTTTTTGCTTTTCAAATTATTACCTTTTTTTAATTCACTATGGTTTGAGCTGAGTTTATACTATTATGCTCATTTTGTTTAGAGAAAGAAGGTATTTTTTGCCTGAAAGTCTATAAATAATGTGCCATTCTAATGAGACTAAAGACCAACAAAGTGAGTGCAGTGGTATTAGCAAGCAGTAAACAATAATATTAATAATTTATATCACATAATGTAGTAAATATTAATATTTGGACAAAGAATTAAAAATTTCAAAAGGAATAAATTTATATATAAAAATCAGGGTTTTTATAGAAAAGGGGAAAAAGCCAGTTGGTATGTAAAGTGTGCCAACTTGTAAACGATTTTAATAAACAAGATAAGTGGACTCAAGGGTTAATGAAATATTACAGCTGTTTTGAGAAATTGAGCTTTGAAGTTTTTCAAGCTGTTTTTCAGAAAGAAGTTTTTCAAGATGGCCTCAGTTAAGTTGCAATATTTTTTTTTTTTAAGTTTTTGACCTAGGACTAATCCTGAAATCCAAACAACCATAACCAAACATCTTCTGGAATTCTTATATGAAATGTTGGGTGTGAATCAATGACGGTTGGATATGTACTTACCTGAATTCACTTTTGTTTTTAACTTTAGCGTCTCTGCATTGTTAGGGTGTAGTTCGTCTCTTTTACGCTTACACCTACTCACTGTTCCACCTTCGATCCATCTACTAAACTAGAGCCTCTTCTTGAAACTTAAAGCCACCTTTCTTCCAACTGTCTCTATCAGTTGTAGATTAATAATAACTATAATAATAAAACAACTTGGTTCTTTAGGAATTGTAAAGAGCTTTTATTGCCTATCACAATAATAAATAGAATGCAATCAACCATACTAACATTTTTAAAACAATAATTCTTGCTTTAAACATAGCATTAGTTAATTATTTAATGAATTCAAACTATGAAACAAGTTTGCCCCTGTTATATTTGTTAAGCTGTTGGACAATATCAAGTGCTTTGGATCTGTAGATTTCAACATCCTCTTCACTTTTTATATCCTCAAGATAATCCTTGATACTGTAGTTGCTTTGTTCTGTGGTAGCAAGTTTTTTTTCGATATAAGAAATCTGCGCATGTCCTTCATTTTCGACCAACTTTTTCTGTAAAATAATAACATTTTAATCTTTATTGTAATGTAAAAAATGTAAGAAATGTTTGTATAAACAATTATATTTGGTAGTACAGATCAAGTGGGTACTGTAGATTATTAACGAGTCGAAAAGGGAAAAGGCCATACTGGCAAGATAGGCATAGGTCATATAAGAATGGGCACCTTCTGGCTGGAAAGTAACTGTGTACGCCTCGTTATGTAAAAATACAATAACAATCAAGCACATTTTCAATTGTAGAAGGCTTGACGTTTATAGGCAATATTTTGATAATCATCAGATGTGTGTAGTTTTGGGGCAAGATTGCTGTTCCGATACCTCACGGCTATAGGGATTTTTAAATGTATACAGTAGGGCATGGTGTGTTCTTATTTAAAAAGAAGGGATGAGCCCAACGTAGATTTTTGAAGTCCAGGTCCGAGAATATCCCTCGATCCGTCTGTCTATAATTTTAAAATTTGCCAGATACCTTTCTTAAATGTTATCTTTAAATGATTAAGAACAATAAAATTTGTATTTGACCTCAGCTGTTTGTCGGGATGAGCCCAAACTAGATTTTTGAAGTCCAGGTCCGAAAATATCCCTCGATCTGTCTGACTATAATTTTAAAATTTGCCAGATACCTTTCTTAAATGTTATCTTTAAATGATTAAGAACAATAAAATTTGTATTTGACCTCAGCTGTTTGTCGGCCCATAAACCTCCTTCATAATGTATATNATATATATATAAAACTTTACAAGAGAAAATATCTCTGGAATCGTCAGTATATATCAGGCTGAATACTGCACAGAAAGCAAACCTGAATACTGCACACTAGGTGCAGTATTCAGGAGAAAAATGACCTGAATACAGCACATCGTGTGTGCTATTCAGGCGTTTAAAATATTTTTGTGTGGTATTCAGGCATTTTACATACCTATATATATATATATATATTTAGTTCTTTTAACATGTAATAATTTATTTGATAATCAGGTTTAATGATGGTATAAATAGAAGCACAATACCTGAATTTCATTGAATTCTTCCACAGTTTCTTTCTTTTTTGTTTTAGTTTTTGGTCTTTCTATCTCCAATTTTGCCTTCTCCTTTGTCAGTGATATTCTTTTTATGTCGATTTCATTTTCCAATTCTAGGATGTTTGAATAGACTTCTATGTCTGATTTCATTGTATTTATTTTATTATTTAAAGATTTCAACTCTGATCCGATATTCTTTACCATAACCTCAACCTGAAAGATTTTTGCTGTTTTGTTTAAATAATTATGGAGTTCTTTAGTCACATTAAAAAATAATTTATTTTCATTTTGATATAATATCAAAGTAGATTATTATATGTTTTAAAGGGACAGAGAAAAAACAATGGACTGATGGTGTAAATTGTACAGGGGGAAAAAATGTTTCCAGTTTCCCGGGACATTTGGCTAACAATATTAACATAATTTTTTTCCAGTGGAATTGCATCGTTCTTTCCGTTTTTAAGTATATATTTTAAAACTACAACCACTAATTAACAGATAAATCATAAAACTAGAAAAAAATGAATGCTCATAATTTTTCCTCTGGACCCTTCATTTCTAATTTGCCCAAGGTCACATACAGCACCTGTACGGAAGAAAAATGTTCATGCAGAGAGGAAGTAGTGAGATTCATCGAAATGTAAAGGTCTTGTTTATTTTTATGTTCCAAAACTTACCTAACAGACTGCTGCTTCAGAGTGAGGTGTGACGAATTCTTGGAAATCAGGCAGATATAAGCCTGCATCCCACAAGGAAGCATTCTTGGTCCCATCATGTATCATCTATATATGCTGACCTAACCCTGACATGAATCCCAGGACATCAGGGGCATAAAGATAATGAAAAGTTGACATGTCGGGCAAAGAGGGGGCCAACATGGACTCTAGGTCCCAAACCCTACTGTGGCCTGGCATCTTGCCACAAAAGAGGAAACATCTTAAAATGGATCCTTAATAAGTCTAAACCCTGGTGGAACAATACCCCAGGAATGAGGCAAGAAGAAATTCATAGAAAGGCCATCCACAAAACTTAGAAAGGAGGAACTGTACTGTAGAACTGGAAGGCAATCGTCACCGTACCAGGTTTCTAGTTGTACTCCTAACAGGGCACTGCCACCTAAGAAGGAACAAACACCGAATAGGAGTATAGACAGAAGAAGCACTATGCAGATACTGCCAGGAAGAGGAGGAGACCACAGAACACTTTTACGTTTCTGTGAAAGTCTTTGTAGGTGCAGATTCTTGCAATTAGAAGAGGAAAAACCACAAGCAAGATCCTACACTAAGGAGCAGCTGGCAAGGAGGTTGATTAACAACCTGAAGCTGGCCAGTGAGTTATAAAGAAAACAGAGAATATAATAGATAATAAGAGAACATAATGTAATAGGGGAATATAATGTAATAAGGGAATAATATAATAGATCTACTCAGGTCGAAGTGCAGAAGGCCTTCTGGCTGCCTCTTTTAACCTTATCTCTACTGTATACTGCTGACCTACCTGCACACTCAAATACCACCATCACAACCTACGGATGATACCAAAATATTGTCCTCTAACTCCAATCCAAGCTACTTCCAACATCCAAGAACACGTTAAGCTTATCATAGACTGGTGCAAAGAGTGGAGGACAAGATTGATGTACATTGAAAAAACAGTCTTGCCCTCCACTGTACATCAGCAACAAAGAGATACCAATTTCCACTGAAGTACTTAAAGAGCAGTGTATTACACACATTGAATGATATATCTTACATCTGCCGATTAATTGATTAGACTGAAATTATTTCCGTAGGATAACAACAAACCTTATTTAAATTCGTGTCACATTGGAGTGTTCTGTTCCAATGGATTTGACTGTATTTAGCATTTCACTAAGCACTTTCAGGTAGTCCCCCCTTGTGATTATAATTATAGTCTGGATGATGACCATCGTAACATAGACTGCTACACAGATGGATCACTTATCAAAGGTATAGGGAGTGGTGCAGGAATCTACATACCAAAATTAGGAATCAGCATCTCCTCCCCTCTTGGCAATAACACCTCCGTTTTTCAGGCGGAAATCTGGGCCATCAATGTGTGTTGTAGAACACTTATGGAAAATAAAATTAAGGGAAAAGATATTAAAATCTTTTCTGACAGTCAGGCTAGTCTTAGGGCATTACAAAAAGATTTTTCAACCTCACGACTGGTGGAGGAAACTATAGATCTTATCAATAGGATCTCTTTCAGGTTTGAGAATAAGGTGACCCTTACTTGGATACCAGCACATAAAGGACACCATGGCAATGAAAAGGCGGATGGCCTAGCCAAAGAAGGTTCTAATACTGTGTTTGTCGGGCCACATCCAGTATTACCTCACTCTATGAGCACAGCCAAAGAGAGTATCAATAACTGGGGCATGAAACAATTCCTTAGGGAGTGGAATTTATCCCCCGGACACAGGCAATTGAAAGAGTTTGTTAAGGCGATCAAACCAGCAGAATCGAAATGGCTATTCTCTATCTCAAGGAAGGGAATTAGGAGGCTGATAGGTATTCTGACGGGCCACTGCCCACTGAGAAGACACCTCTTCGTAATGGGTATCTTACCAAATCCCTTTTGCCGCTTCTGCGAAATAAAAGATGAAACGGTAAGGCACTACCTCGCAGAATGTGATAGGTATGCTAGGTCTAGATTTGAAATTTTTGAAGGAGAGGACATCACCAAATCACTCCCCAAGATAAAATGGTCCAAAATCTTGGGATTTGTGAACAAGCCCAAAAGGTTTATGCAGGACACGTGAGCCGACCAAGTCCCGGACCTTTTAGGGATGGGTTACGAGTCTACCCAGGCATTTAACCCCTCGGGTCTTGGTCGCCCACCCTGCATAATATATAATAGATAAGGGAATAATATAATAGATCTACTCAGGTCGAAGTGCAGAAGGCCTTCTGGCTGCCTCTTTTAACCTTATACTGCTGACCTACCTGCACACCCAAATATCACCATCACAACCTATGGATGATACCAAAATATTGTGATACAAAAATATTGTCTTCTAACTCCAATCCAAGCTACTTCCAACATCCAAGCACACGTTGAGCTTATCATAGACTGGTGCAAAGAGAGGAGGACAAGATTGATGTACTCAGTGTACATTCACATTGAAAAAACAGTCTTGCCCTCCACTGTACATCAGCAACAAAGAGATACCGATTTCCACTCAAGACCTTAAAGAGCAGTGTATTATACACCATGAATGATACATCTTACATCTGCCGATTAATTGATTAGACTGAAATTATTTCCGTAGGATAACAACAAACCTTATTTAAATATCGTGTTACATTGGAGTGTTCTGTTCCAATGGATTTGACTGTATTTAGCATTTCGGATGATACCGTGTTGTTAATTTGAAGCGATTTGTAATCTGCAGCTGTTGGAACAACGGCAATTTTTTCTGCAATTTTTTTCAACAGAGGAACGATTTCATTTCCTAAATTCTTCAGCTTATTCGACTCATCAAGTTTTAAAGACTCAACTGTCGCCAGGAAATCTTCAATTGCCTTCTCCTTATCTTTCAGTTCGATAAATTTAGCATACCTTGTCGAACTCTTCCCATCATCAATGTTCTAGAAAAATAATAAACAAAATTTATTTAAAAAGAGTGACAATTAGTAAGAAAAGTTGCATATTAAATTTTCAATATTATATAATAACAAAAAAAATCTTATTAATTCTGGTTTTAGTAAATAAAATTTAACAAACAAACCTGAGTGGTTTGTGACAAACTTAATTCTGCTTCTCTAATTTGGTCTTTCATGTCACTTATCGCTTTACGCATGGTTGTCGTTTGTGCATTATCTTGTTTGACTTTGTTGAGCAATTCCCTTCTTTGTTCTTCTGGCGAAAGGCTCGTTTTCATTTCGTGTACAAGATGTTCCTTTTTGTTTTCTAGCTCCCATAACTTCAACTCCAGTTGCACTAATTCTGATTTAGCCTGTAAGACAGTTTTCAGGTTGAAAATTATTTTTTTTGTTATACTAAAGTAATATTGTATTTCACATTATACCACCCTTTCTAATGAATCATTATACAACTTTCTTTTGCCTCTTGTTTGTTTTTATTCAAACAATTAAAAATTTTGATTGATATAGGACTGCATATTTAGTGTATTTTTCTGTATGAGTGTCAAAAAATGTTACATACTGTGACCAATATTGGTTTTATTATGGAATCTACATCATTGCTTAGAGTTCTTCCCTACGCTGAGTGGAGAAAGAATATGGCTAATCTGCTCAGCCTACTTCCCAAGAGAGGAACCGTGCCCAGCCAAGTTGCTGGATGACATTGTGAGGTCCAGGGAACAAAACATGAAACTAGTCATGGGATGTGATGAAAATTCCCCAATGTGGAAGTACTGACATCAACAACCAAGGCAAGTCCTTAGGCACGGAACCCACCTTCTGTGTAGGCCACCTGATGTAGGCAAGAAGTCTTAGACCTGACAATTAATTCCCAAGGGGCTGATGAATACATCTTAAACTGGATAGTATCCAGGGAACCATCAAACTCTGATCAGATTTGATTTGAAGAGGCAGGGAGGCAGGTGAGCTTCCTCACGAAGATCAAAGCTTCACACAAACGGAAGAAGAAACACTCTCTCTGCTGGTTGAAAATCACTTCCCAGGAGCACAAATAATCCATGAAGAAATACTCCTTGAATGCTCAAAACAAATAAAAACCACAAAAGAAGAGTGGAAGGAAGTGGCAGCAACAATACAACCTAAAGCCATAAGCTCCTTTCACTTGAGAAGTTTAGTCCATACAAGGCGCCAGGAATAGATGAAATCTACCCAGTACTAGTACAAAAATGCAAAGAGATTCTCATGCCATACTTAGTAAGAATATTCCAGAGCATGCCTAGCATGGAGTGCATTCCTAAAAGATGGCGAGAGATACAAGTGGTGTACATACCAAAAGTTGGACGACCTATCGACTACAAGCCCAACTTGTACAGACCTACCAGTTTCACATGATCCATGTTAAAGACATTAGAAAGACTGGTAGAGAACCACATTTAAGAACAAACCTCTCAGTGAGTGACAATTCGCATACCAACCAGGGAGATCCACAGAGATCATTCCTGGATGACCTGTGTAAATGCCTAACCAAGTCCATAAACGACAAGGAGATAGCTGTTACACTTTTTATAGATATAGAGGGACCTGTTAACAATACATCCACAGCCTCTCTATATAGAACAATTAAAAACAGGGGAGTCTTGGAAAAGATATGCCAATAGGTGGAAGAAGGCCTAGAGAACAGGATAATCACATCCACCTTGGGTGGTGCGATCATCCGGGCTAAGACAGCCAGGGGATGCCCACAAGGGGGTATTCTCTCACCTCTACTGTGGACGACGCTGGTAGACGAAGTCCTCCAAAAGATGGAGCAAGAAGGATTCTACTGTCTAGGCTACACGGATGACCTTGCTGTAGTAGTAAAGGGCCATCATGCAGACTTCGGTATAGATCGTGTACAACAAACCCTCAATCTAGTTGACAGCTGGTGCAAAAGGTAGGGTGCTATCTATTAAACCAAAATGAAGGGGAGATGACATTAGGAAGCCTGAAATCTCCAAGTCTAAACGGGACCCTGATCCCATTTTCCAAGAATGCCAAATATCTAGGGATTACACTAGATCAGCAGCTCACATGGAATCAACATTTGACTAAAACCACCCAGAGAGCCAAAATTACCTGGGGGAGGTGCAGAACTACTGTGCCAAAAACTGGGGTTTAAACCCCAAAATGACCCTATGGCTATACACCTGCGTTTTAAGACCAATGTTGACATAAGGGTTGGTGGTGTGATGGACCAAGACTCTGCAGGCCAAAGCAATCAGGCTATTAAGTGGCACCCAAAGACAAGCCTGTACTGGGACCACAACGCCAACTGAAGCGCAGGAAGTGTTGTTAAACTTCCCACCACTTCATATTTTAATCCAAAGAGAAGCCAGAGCAGGAGCCCACAGGCTCATAAATGGACAACCATATGCAAGGATAGGTCATGTAAATAAACAATTGAGACTGAGGGAGGAGATACAGGCAGATGCCATATTAGGCATGCCAATTGATACCACTACTCCAAAATACAATTTTACTAAAAAGTACAAGGTACTGATAACAGAATGAGAAGGATTGGCCATAGGAACACTGCTAAAGGCAAACTCCTACTGGTACACTGATGGTTGCAAAACTGACAAGGGCACAGGAGCTGAAGTCTACGGAATGAATCCAAAGACCAAGATAAACTTAGATAAATATGCTAGTTTTCCACTCTAAAATCATAGCGATTGAACATTGTGCCAGGGAAATAAAAAGGCTAGGAAAATCACGTGTTGACATCTTAGTTAAGACTGAATTATTCCCAAAAAATGAAATGCTACTGACGTAAATGAACACTTTTGTTTGGAAAAGGATTGAAAAGTGTTGACATTCGTACAAAAATTTGAATTTTTGATATTATATATGTATGTATATGTGTATCTGTATATGTATATGATTTTTTTCACTGTTAATTTAGATAAACATCATAAATTCATAAAATATATCATTTGTTTGTTGCATCTCAAGATACAGCTAAAATTTAGCAAGGAAAAGAAAATTATGAATAAACATTTAATTTAAAAAACAAAACAAAAATATGTACTTACTGGAGATATGAAAACTTGATCTGCAATATTGGTCTTTGTCTTGTTAAGAGAGTTAATCTCACTCTGCAGCTTCTCCGCTTTGACGAGTATTTCATTTTTTTGTTTTTTTAAAGAATTGAACTGATCCCTTTGTGAGCTGTTCATTTCAGATTCAAGTTGTTCAGCCTTGAATTTTTCCTAAGAGGTGGGGAAGTAAAACACAACAGAATTTAAACTACAAATCTAGAAGTATATGAAGTTTCTCTACTGTCCGTATTTACCTTTTCAATTTGGTCTTCCAGGTCTTTAATAGCTTCTTGACGACGCATTCGATCTGCAAAAAGTGTCTCTAACGACACGACGTCTGCATCGTTAGTAGCAGCTTGTTCCCTGGCCTCCAAAAGAATTTTGTGCGTGTCACTGCCAACGTTGATTTTGTCTAAAGCCATGTTGTGATCAGCAAGTGCCCCTTGTAAATCTGCATAAAGAAAATGCTCAGAATTAAACATAGAACATATAAACGTTACAAAAATAACAAACAGCTAATAACTTGACAACTATTGCTAACTACTTGATCTAAGAGTATTTTTTCCATAATAATTTATAGTAGATTTCACAAAAGGTTCACAAGCACTATTGTTCTTGAATTTAGTACTAACAAACTGCATTGGAAAGGCAGGTGTACTGAAATACTCATGGACAAACCGTCTGTTGTCTGTGCCTCACAGTGCAGGAAACAAGGGTAACTAAGAGGTTTATAGATTAGCCAGCTCTTGTTCAAGAAGCTTGCGACTCTAAGAACTTTACAATGCATCAAACATTCCAAAACTGGGGAATCTCCCTATCAATAGAAACAATTCAGAAAATGCTAAGAGAAGTGGACCAGGGAGAGGTGGAAAATTAAACCAGCATGGATCAAGAAGGCACATTTGGGAAATTATGGTAACGAGTTGGCTGACAAGCTAGTTTAAAGGATGAGAAACTGCAGGTGAAATTTTGCGTTGTTCCAAAGACACATGTAAGGAAAGCGAAACCAATGTTTTGAAGGAGTAGGAATATAGAAATTCAACAAACTTTAAAACAACTATGGTGTTTACATGGAAAAATGCACAAAAATATCCATGCATCCTCAAACTTGCAAGAATATAATATATGCATGTACTGTCTTTGAAAAAGAAAGGATGCTACTTGTAAGAAAAATTATACAAGGAGATAAATGTCCTACACAAGGTGAAACTGTTAAAACAAAATAAAAGTCCTCAGCAGCTGCCAGAACCATTCTGAAAATTACAAACTCCTGTAATAATTAAATGGATCAAGTTAAAAACTCATACCTAATGGAACAACATCTCAGGACAGAGACAGGCAAACTTCATTAAAAAATTCTACCTATTAAGACCTACATCCAGGCTGGACAAAGCTCAGGATCATTGCAGGTCTGCTAACAAGACATTGCTTCTTCAGAGATTTAAGCATTTGTTCAACTGAGATCTAAAAGATCTATTGTGGAATTGACCCTTTTTTATTTCCATTCCGCTTCTATAATTCTCTAGGCATTAGTGCTGCCTTTTTGAGGTGGCTGTACTGTTTCCATTTTATGCATTGCAGTCAAGTTGTGTCTTTGCTTTTTCATGACAACATCTGCAGGTTTCTGTCACAGTTTTTCCCATTTTTTAATTTTTTTTATTTTTATTAAAATCACTAGCTCAACCATATACAAAGAATTAAGATTTTTAGTTGAGATAAAAAAGTCAATGGCACGAGCGGGATTCGAACCCACGATCTTCGGCTTGATACGCCGCTGCTCTACCACTTGAGCTATCGTGACCTCGATCCACTCGGACACCAACTTCCTATCTCAACCGCACCTTTTGAATTTTCCCTCCTTTTTTATTTAAAATGAAGTATACTTCACTAAAGCTCTCCGTGGCCATTTCATTTGTCGTCGAGAATCCAATCCGATTACACGACATTTGAAAAATTGCAATTGTAATATATTAATTGGTCAAACGGACCACGAAATTAGTGAATATATACAAAGAGTTCTACATTAGTGCATGTATAGAAATATTTCACATTTAACAAGTTGAGACATCAGATTGACCATTTGGTTTTATCACATTATTCGCTAGAGGAGAAATATTACTTAATAAAATCGTTATAATGTAAAACAAATTATCACACTATATCACAGATGTTTTTAGACTATTTACACATGTCTTGTAGCAAACATAGCTTCAGACATATTTCCTTTTTTCCTCCTATGAAGTGGACAGCACCTTTGACTTTGCAATGGAATGAAACTTGTTGAATCGCAGGTGAATTGACTCTTGTGTGGTTGGGAGTTGTAGTTCTATTTATATTTGGTTGTTTCTCAAGTACCACTCGGCATTTATTGCCACTTGCACAGTTTTAGTTTTAATACTTGCAGCTGCTTCATTTTGGACGAAGACACTGCTTCCCATAATTCATACCCATAAAGGATTAGGGGCTTTATGATATATTTATAAATTAGCATAGCGAGTTTGACCTCAACTTGGATCTGTGGTTTATAATAGTATATAGCATATCCAGACGAGCATATCCTTTGGTCACCTTTTTATTTATGTGGTACTTCCAGGATAGCCGTCTGTCCAGATGAACTCCTAGGTACTTCACAGAGCTGTCAGGAGGTCAACCATCTTGTCTGCTGAGAAAGTGATTTTTGTTTTCCTAGTTGAAATGTTAAGGAACTTCTTCGATTACTTTTGCACATGGTGAATTCATTAAATGCATTCCATTTATCAATTGGAATCAAGAGGATATTTAAAAATATTAGTAGAAGCAGCTGTTGTATCCTATTTTTCTCTCTTTATGAATATGATCTTTCTCCTTTGTTATACTTATGAGTTTTCCTTCTTGAAGGTGGGATAATAATAGGTCATCTCAAAAAAACCACAACCAGTTTTTATCCACAACGTTTTGGATTTATTTTAATCCTTCCTCAGGTGAGTTAACGCAATGGTTAAAAAAGTGGTCGTCAGTCATTAATATTTTATAACAGTTTATTTTTAAAAAAAAGAGCCAGTGTGGTACTTATTCAGACTACGAAAAAACATTTTAATATTTATTTATTCGTTAAAATATTAAAACGTTTTTTCGTAGTCTGACTGGCTCTTTTTTAAAAAATAAATTGTTATAAAATATTAATGACTGACAACCACTTTTTTAACCATTGCGTTAACTCACCTGAGGAAGGATTAAAATAAATCCAAAACGTTGTGGATAAATACTGGTTGTGGTTTTTTTGAGATGACCTATTATCCTACCTTCAAGAAGGAAAAATCATAAGATTAACTGTTGAGGTCGAATATAAGAAAATGTTCCTTTGTTATATATATTTTTACTAATATTATTATCTATTTTTAGTAACATACAGCTAATAATGTTAAAACTTTGATTTCTTTCTTTTCTCTTTATTATAATTTTAGGTTTTTAACTTAACAATGACCTCCATCAGATGGATTGTATTCATGCATGCACCATACTTTGTAAATAATCATAAATTTTCAAATAATAAAAAGCATTAAAAAAGAGGTAAAAAGTTCAGCTCATTATCGTGGGTATGCTGTCTTAGCTTTGTACCAATTCTTGACAAAGGCTTGCAACACACCTAGGAATAAAGCTGGAATATATCTTTATCTTCCAGAGCTTTCTCTATATCATTATTGTTTCTATGCATGTAATCTACAGTTTGTTAAAATGTTTGCTTTTTCACTGTAGGGTTTTAATTTTGAGCACTAGTTCTTCAATTAGTTTTGCGATTACTGGAAGTAATGAAATAGGTCTATTGGATAAAATTTAGTAAAGTAAATTATTCCTGAAGTGTATAAATGTTACTGAATATTGATGTGTATAAGCTCAACTCTGCACATACACACGCATACAGGGTTGAAACTGTACACAGCCCACCAGCAATTAGCTTTTGTGTAATTTACAATAAATTACAACCAGCCCTAGAGAATCACCCTCCCCAGGTGTTGGAAATCCGGTTTTTGTCTGTCCTGCCTGATATTCCTCCATCACACTCCAAATATATTACATAACTGATGTGATTGAGGGTCGAAGGGGTACTCCATATTCCGCCCTGGCCACCTCACACACACACTCACATTCACGCTAATAAATACATTCTGTCTCAATATAAACAAAATGTAACACAAATTGGGTGTCTATCAGTAGCATATCCACTAAAACAGCCCTGTTTCAAGGGAATTTTGAAGAATTTCAAGAATTCTGAAAGATAGAGAAACACACAGTGCCTTCATCAAGCTTTTGAGGAATATATCCCCTTCATCAGGACGTTAAAACCATTTCTAATGATTTAAATGATTAACAAATGGACGGATGAAACGTCTGTGCACTCTATTAAGTAAACTCATAAACTCATATGGTTGAAGCCATAATTTATTTAATACTATAAGGAGATGCTTATATTTGTTAATTGTTAAAATAATTAGAAATGTATAGTTCCAAAGTCCTGATAGGAGAGTCGGTCGCTGCAATGGTTTAGGTGTTGACACAGTGCTCATCACTGTAAAGCAGGTCCTGGGTTTGAATGCAGAGCTGCTGGATTTGAACCCAACATACTTACAAATGGCATTTTTTTCTAAAAGCACTCCGAAGGTACATCAGGTATAAGTAGTTGAAATACCATAAAGGGATATATTTCTTGAAAGCTTGATGAAGGAACTGAGTGTTTTTCTTTCTTTTAAATTTCCCTTATCTCTGATCTTTTATATATAATTATAATATTAACACTAATATCAATCACATCAAGATGTTTTGATAACCTTGTAATTTGGTCATTTACAATCATTTTGGACTGTATGTTTTTGTTGTGTTTGTCTGTCAGACAAGTTTCAGCATTTCTCCATCTTCAGTGTCGGGTCTGGGGGTGTTTTGGTAACATTGTACTATTAATTTTATATTTCATAATTTTTATATAAAAAAATCATCTTCATACCTGTAAGTTCAGTGGCCATTTGTTTCACTTTTCTGTCATAAACAGCTATTGACGCCTGGTCTCTCGTGCTTTTTTCCATGTCTTTTTGTATGTTTGACAATTCAGTCGAAAGCTGTCCTATTTTTAGTTGTAAAGCACCTTGAAAGTATCTTTTATCCTGGATCAGTCTTGTCCTTTGACCTCGGCTTGTTGCGGTTCTCATGACATTCAATCCTTGCTGTGAAACCAGCCTCTCCCGCTGAATTAAATTCATTTTTTCAAATTACTGGACACAATCAAATCCTGTTCAATCCTACCTGTATATTTATAGGAATTTTCTCAGCTGTCATCATCCCTGACGGCCTACCTGAAGGCGTTGAGGAATATGAGGGATATGCTCGGACTGCCGAAGGAGGTCGAACGGTTGATCTTGCTTTCTCAGTTGGTGATCCCTGTTCACATATGTTAATTGTTAAAATAATGATACAGAAAGAAAATACTTATTAATGAAATTTACACTATAAAAAGCTCCTCTTCTCGATTTGGGTCTTTCTACTAAATCTTCATTGGATGATCTAGTACTGGGAGGTCTTCCATCTCGCCTCCACCGAGTAACAGGTCTTTCAATATCCATTTTTATTCTTTTTAGCTTAATTTATTGACCTACTAATTTTCTGTATGTATGGTAACACTGTGAATTATTAAATGAATAGTATTTATTATTCTATTAGTAATATAGGACAAATTTTCCCTATCATACTAAAAATAACGACATCCCTGTTTTCAAAACTGGTGATCACTCATTAATAAATTATAGGCCAATTATCATGAATGTCTAGAATTCTGAATGAAGCTATTTTTTCTCTTTCCTTGGATTCTCAATTAAACAAAAACAAGCAAGCCGAAACCTAAGTTCTGCAAATTAGGTATCCTTTTTTAATCCTCTGGATTCCCTGAGGGATCACACTTAGGCCCCTTTCTATTTAACATCTTAATTAACAAAATTGCACTGCTCATAATGACACACTCTTTCTCCTATTTGCATACAATCTCAAAATATTCCACAAAACTCATTCTGAATCTGACTGCATTTATTTACAGTCCAAACTAATTAACCTAGCAAAGTGGTGCAGTGGTGCATCAAGAATGACACTAAACATTAAGAAATGCGGGTTAGATCTACCCTGTCCTTCCGTTACTCCATATATATAATACCTTATTAAGCAGAGTAAAATATCAATGATCATGGCATTCATTTCAACCAATCTCTCACCTTTAATAACATATCAACCTATTAGCCAACAGGGCAAACAAATTATTATTATTCATCTGTTGCCACTCCAAGGATTTTAATCCCTCCACTTCTTCCCTCCTGTACACTTCCTTGTCCGTTTCCTATTAGAATACTGTTCCTTAATCTGGTACACACACTACAATACCTCATTAATTTTTTTTGAGAAAATTCAGCACAAATCCCTTAGGTGGATAGGCTATTATGATGTTCCCATTGATATCATGCAGCACTAATTGTAAGTTTAATTGTTCTTAAATCTCGATGTATCGGCCACTTTAACAACTCTCCCGACCAGTTCAGAAATTTTTCAAACCCTATCCTCTATTCACTCATTACATTCACTACTTTCTTTTACATTCCTAGTTATATTCAAGTGTTTTTTTGTATTAATGTGATATTGGTTTATTTGTTATTGCCGATAGGCCTTGAGATACACCCACCCCACTTGTTGGCAATCCGGGAGCAGACCTCGGTCTTAACCGTCCAGCAACTGGGGTTGGGCTCCAGATCCTGATAACAGCAAGGCCAATTTAGCACCCACGCATGCAGTTCCTAGATCCAAAACCATTCACACTCACGTTCATTCTTAAATATATTCTCTCCTATTTACATACCATTGTATTGGTGGAGAACTCAATATTCCTCCATCATCCTCTACACATATTATATAACTAACCTAAATGAGGGTCGATGGGATACTCAATATTCCACTATCGACCTGTTCACCCTATACTTTCATGCTGATAAATACATTCTCTCCTATTTAGATACCATTCACTCAATTAAGTTGGTGGAGTACTCAATATTCCTCCATCATCTTCTACACATATTATATAACTAACCTAATTGAGGGTCGTTGGGGTACTCAATATTCTGCCATCGATCCCCTCATATCACACATTCACGCTAATAAATAAATTTACTCTCAACACATGATAAGCCACAAAGCTATATATAATAAAACAACCCTGTTTCCTCCAAAAATCGGAACAGGGGACCCAGATACTTACTGCCTTGCTCAAGCATGATTACCACATCAGATGGCATTCTTACATTTTACTCTTTACATAGAGCAAAAGTGTTGCACTCTTCAATTAGGTCGTTGAGGCATATCTAGCAACGTTTCTCTAGATGCCGGACACATGCACGGGCTTTGGCCCAAAAGTAAGTGTTCGTATGTCAACCTTGCATTTATAAGTTTCTAAAATTGTTTAAATGCACAATATTTATATAGCTGAAATTAGTGAGGATAATAGTTTTTGACTTTCATCTCACAGATTACCCCATGTCTTTGACCATTCCATAGGATTATGAAACAAGGCAATCTTACTTTGTGATACTATATTAAGTATAAATTTTATCACAATTTATTAAAATTTTGCGGAGCTCAATTGATACCATAGCAAGTTAGGAAGTACTTAGGAGTTTTACTCACACCTATTCTTTCTTGGTCCATACATATCTTGAAAAAAGCTTTTGACACCAAAACGCGATAAATATGTCTTGGTCTCATTGAGAACAAAATACTCTGAATTTAATGCAGTTCTATGTTATGGGTGCCAAAACTGGGGATACCAAATGTATGATTGGGTGGAGAAAGTACAGCTCTTCTTTGTCAGGAAATTGTTTTCATTGCTGTCTGCCACCCAACCATCCCCTGTACTTGGAAACTGCCGCTGATCTTATTTTTGTTTATTTTCTAAAACTGCACTTTGATTATAGTCAAAACCACAAGGTCCCCTGATTCTATTCTATTTTATGACTATACTAATAAAATCATAAGTTTTCGGATTATCCGGACTTTCCGATCATCCGGACAAGTCCCGGTCCCTTTAAGTCCGGATAAACGTATTTCTACTATATTCGGCTTCGTGTAATTTGAACATTGGGCAAAAAAAGAGGGAAATCTGAAAAAGTTGTGGGTCGGATGATGAGTTGGTGTGTCGGGCATACCAAAGTTATGATAGCTCAACTGGTTTGAACAGCGGTTTATTGAGCCTAAGGTCGTGGGTTCGAATCCCTCTCGTGACACTTATACTTTTCATCTCAACTACACTTTACATTAAATTATAAATCGCTCAATAACTGCTCAGGTTCATTTTAACTTTTCATATTAATAAAGTTGACACTAGGGTTTTAAAGACAGATGTCTCGACTAGCGTCAATCTGACTAAATGCTTCTATTATACAACATAAGATGGAATTTTAAAAGTTTCTCCTTTTTTTTCAAGAAACCACAATAATAAGTCTCGACAGAAAACTTAAATACTTAATTTAAAAAAATCAATGTATGTTAAAACTGAGCCAGTCAAAGAAATAATAACTGATTTATAAAAAATGAAGAAATATTTTCTAGAACGACAATATTGTCAGAACTTACCACATAGCTGAGAATAATCGTTCGAGTCGATTAAATTTGACAAAATCTCCTGACCTGAGATTGCCTTCAATGTTTCGCCGTGAAGTGGACGAAGGCAGAGAGGAAGCCGTCCGTAGTTACAGCCCTTTGCCAAACCGTTGCTAACAACTGTGTTAAAGGGTGGTGGTGGGTTAAAACTACGCTGGACGACCAGGTTGGTGGATCACGGATTTGGAACGAACTTTTTTTTTGTGATTCTATACTCCAAAATATCCGACACGAATCCGCCACTTCTTGTGAATACGCCCTGGATTCGACAAAAAATTTGAAAGTTGGGATTTTCCGTTTTTTAGTATTTTTATTTCCCCTTTCTGTTGGTTCAAATCAACTATGTGAATGTATCATTTCACAGCACTTTTTATGTAGATTGCAATAAAAATATAGTAAAAGCTATCAAAGTTTATCAATTACCAAAAAATTTCTAAAAAACAAATATTTTTCAAATAAGCTAGGGTCATAAACAATTTCATTTCGTGAAGCTAATATGAAATTTTGTTTTAGCACCTCTAGAGGCCACTATATATTTTAGTTTGAATTTAAATGTATCGATTTTTCGACCTCTAAAATTTTTCCGATTTTTGAGAAATCATCAGAATATCTGTTTTTAAACGGCTATAATTCAAAAATAGTTAAAACGATTATAACGTCAAACAGACTATTTGAAAGAAGACGAATATTAATGACGTACCGTAAAAATATATAAAATATTTTTATAAGAAAATACACAAAATAGCAAAATTATTTGTCAGAAATTAACCTAGTTTTTGTAAACGGAAATAATAATCTGATTGAATGGTGAAAATTTGAATTGAATATTGGTAGGAATGACAGTCAAGCAGAAGGTCGTCGAAATTATCAGTCAAAAAATTAATTTACATTTCTACGAAAGTCTGTATCTAAGGGTTTTATAACGCTAGAATCGCTAGAATCACGACAATGAGGTCAAATCTAAGTTTTGACCATTTTTTGACCTCCTTTGCTTGTTAAAATATGCAAAAAAAGCAGCATTTTGATGATTTATCTTTTTAAATCATACCAAATTAGAATATTCTGCATCGTAGTACATTTTTGTTTTGTGTTAATCAACAATGAAATTAATACAGTCATGACAGTCACTCATTCCTAGCGCAAGCTCTAACATCATTTTTCTCAAAAGCTCGAGGACCGATTTTCACGGTTGATTATTCGTTTTAAAGAAATTGACAAGTAAATTTTATAACTGTATCAAACTTTATATCACTTTAAAATCGGACTTATTTCCATTTACAAAAACTAGGTTAATTTCTGACAAATAGTTTTGCTATTTTGTGTATTTTGTTATAAAAATGTTTTATATATTTTTATGGTACATACGTCATTAAAAAGCTTTCTTTCAAATAGTCTGTTTGACTTTAAAATCCTTTTAACCGTTTTGGAATACAAATGAAAAAAAAACAAAAAAAAAACAGACATTCGGATAACGATTTCTCAAAAATCGGCAAAATTTTACAGATCAAAAAATCGATAAATTTAAATTCAAACTGAAATTTATTTTTGGTTCGAATCTCGCTCGTGACACTCACTTTTTCATTTCAACCAATACCTTACATACAAAGAATAATTAATTGAAAGAAGTTATTTGGCCAATCGGACCACTAAAAATAATGGATTTATATTTAGTGGACTCTAGAAGTTCTAAAGCGAAATTTCATATTATTTTCACGAAATAAAATTGTTTATGACCTGGTTTATTGAAAAATATTTTACTTTTAGAAATTTTTTGGTTATTAATAAATTTTGAAAATTTTTACTATATTTTTATTGCAAGCTACATAAAAAATTGTGTAAAGTGATATATTCACATAGTTGATTTGAATAAGTAGAATGGCGAAATAAAAATATTAAAAAACGGAAAATTTCAACTTTCAAATTTTTTTTTGCGAAACCAGGGCCTATTCACAAGGAGTGGCGGATACGTGTCCGTGTGTGATATGTGTAGAATCACCAAAAAAAGTTTGGTCCAAATCCGTGACCCTCCAACCTGGTTATCCCCTTTAAGTTGTTATTCAAATTCTTTCAATCATTTGGAGTAAACTTCTAGCTATTTGAACTGATGAGTTTTTTTATTAATACTTTTATTTATTAAAACAGGTCAAATGAAACCATCTATTAATGGATAATTTAGTAATACATATTCTTTAGTCCAATCGCAAATTAGTCTACTACTATAGTACTTTTCATAGTTTTGTTTCTTTAGTTCAGTTCAATTGACTTCATCCTTCTTTTAATAAGTATTAGGTCATTGCTGCAATTCTTTTTACCGGTTGTTCTTTATACCTTGGGCAGTGCCTCCATTAACATGGGTGGCAGTTCCTTCCTCCTGACATAACCTATAAATGGAGTCATCATTGAATATACCCATGTTCTGTAATAGTGTATTGTGCCAGTGAACAGTTATAGCTTTACCACCCCACTGAGTTTTATACCCCGTTAAGCTGTAGCAATTTGGTGAGGTTCTTTAACTATGAGTTTACTATGTATGACAACTCGTGAGTCTGCCAACTTTTTTTGTTTTTTGTGGACCCATTGGATGAATCTGTCATCTTGTTATCCCAAGTCCAATATATGTTCTGAGCCTATAGTCTTGCATATCCTCAGGCCAGTTGGTCAGTTCATTACCCAGCATCCTTTGTGCGCTGGCACCCGAGGGATTGACAGGTTGTCACCTCTGAAGACTCATCTGACCGGATTTTGAATTGGATTATTGGAATTTTTGTAGTTTTTATTGCAATAGACAAGAACTCTAAGTCTAATCAGATTTCAGAACTAATTTTAATGAATAATCACCAGCTGATTCCCACGCACATTTCAATGAACATGTCGTGCTAGTGTTACATAAATGTTTATGAATATACTCTCTGGTTTATTGTATTTTGGAATCTACCTTCCCCTAAACAAAAAAGTATTTAAGACCGGATGCTGAATGTTCACTTATTGGTAGCGATTAGCGCATAGGGCATCGGCGCCCGCTTACAGTTGATAAAAGTTAAAAAAAACCCTGCACATTGAATGGCACTATATTTTGCAAGAATATAATAGAATAAGGAGGCTTAATAAAAACTATTTGTCAGCAATTTGTAGGCAAACCAAGATGAAGGGTAACTACTTAATTATAGATTCATCACCTTGCAGACCACAAGAGGAAATCTTTAAAACTTGATTAAGTACTTATATCTAATGGCAAGCTTGCATATATTTACCGTATTGCGTTACAAGTATTGCGTTCTGGGTGGTTGTGAAGGAACGTTTCAAGCCCTCGAATGTGGGATAATTACGATTTGAACGGATTGTTTCCACAAATCGTAGGAAAAAATTTCAATTGAAAATATGTGATTGAAACAAACAAGAGTGAACACCTGAAAAATACAAAAGTGATTGTCTATGATGAATCATCATCTACTTCCTAGAATTGTTTATCTTCGACTATGATAAACTATACTTGTCATTTCACACGTTTTTTAATTAAAGATGGAAATTAAATTGAAAACTCTCCATGCACACACGCTCAAAATAAACCCTTGTTGGTTGATATAAAAAAAGACAAGTAAATAATATTAAGAAAAGATAATTTTTGTTTAAAAAATAGTTGGTAGAACAGTAAGTTTGTGTTGCCAAAGGGCTCTAGAAGGACTTAAACCCCTTATGCTAAATGGAGTTGAAATTCATTTTTCTAAAGAGGCAAAATATCTGGGTGTCATCTTCGACCAGAGACTTTCATGGAATCAAGAACTAAATAAAATCACACAAAGAGCCATTGACAGATGCAAACGCCTTAGTGGGAAAAGTTGGGGACTGAATCCAAAGATGTCACTATGGCTATACACAGCGGTTGTTAGACCCATGATGGCCTATGAATCAGTGGTTTGGTGGACAAAGGCAGCTAAAGGCAGTCAAGATCTTCAGTACTGCTCAGAGACTGGCATGTTTGAGCATCACTGGTGCAATGAGGATAACTGGAAGTCCTTCTGAATCTACCACCACTAAATATCTTCATCCAGGGAGAGGCCAGAGCCACAATTCTTAGGCTAATGCAGGGACAGGCTCTAATTCCTCTTTACTCACGTAACAAGGAGCAAAGCTTGGAAGGGAGCTTCAGCTAGACAGTACATTGGGGATGCCTGTTAATGCCATGACCCCTAAATTCAGTTTTCACAAAAAAGTTCTAATCTAAACACCTTGTAGAGCATACTGGGAGAAGGGGATCCCAGTTAATGCCGACCATATCGGGTTTGCAGATTGCTCCAAAACCGAATATGGGTCAGGAGTTGGCATTTATCGAAATAAACCAAGAACTAGAATTCATATAAGCCTTGGTCAATATATGAACTATGGCTATTGATCACTGTGCCAGGAAGATAAAAAGGCAAGGTATTGTCAATAGAAGAATATCTATCTACTCGGACAGCCAGGCAGCACTGAAGGCAATTGCCGCATCGGCGGTAAAGGCCTGAATCTATAGACTGCGAGCTCGGTCAGACATTGGGGAAAAAACAAAATTACCCTTGTCTGGGTATCAGGACACACAGGGCAGAGGGGCAACGAAGGGGCCGATAAATTGGCCAAGGAAAGTTCAATCTGAATACCTGAACCCTTTTGTGGCTTCCTAAATGGCCAAAAACGCGGATCCATTAGACAATAAGTCCTCCGCTCAATGGAATGTAGCCCAAGACAGAGGCATGCAAAAAGTTTGACAAAGGACTATCGCAGAAACTAACGCAAAACTACTAAATCTAGCAGATGTTAGGACTAGAATAACAGTTGGACTGCTAACTGGACACTGCAGACTCCGAAGACATATGAATGGACTCAGAATGGCAGAAAAAAGCCTGTGTACAAATTGCCAAGAAGAAGAAAAAACAGTGAAACATGTCCTCTGTTGATGCGAAGGCCTCTGTAGGCTGCGATTCCTAATTCTGGAAGCTTAACGAGCTTAAAAAAATAGAGATGCACAATAGACCAATACTGTCGCGGCGTGCAGTTCGTAAAGAGGCCGGCTCCAAAATAATCTAATCTAATCTCACCATCACCTTTTTTGGCTTTGGAAAATGTGGTGTTGCTTCTCCTTTGTCGAGTCACGGTCCAGAACATCTGGTACAATATGGTTAAGGCTTGGGGACCAAGAAAGGT